TTGTTTGGTGTTGATTTAGAGTATGGGGGAGGGGTGGGTGGATGGGGTCTCTTTGGAAGGGGTTGTGGGGGGTGCAGGACTGGGTGGGATGGGATTTGGGTGTGGGTTGTCGTGTGCATGAGATGGCAGGTCTGGGATGCGATGTGCGGCGATGATGGCGTCGGCGGACGAGGTGAAGTATGTTTTCCCGTCCGGTGAGGCGTCCAGAGACAGAATGGGTTGAGTGTGTGGTTTACTGAGGTAGATGAGTTGGGCTTGGTCTACGGTCGGGGTATCGTGTGTGGGGGGTAGGTTGAAAGCTGCTGTGAGGCCCCCTTCGTATCCGACCAGGACTAGGGTGGTGTTGGTGGTCGATTGGTGTACGAGTTTCACAGCCATGACCATACCTGTTGTACATGAGATTTAGAAATACATGTCTAGAAGCAGCTAATGTCATGTGCATCGTGTTGAGGGAATGCTTGGGGCATTGCCAGTTGGACATGGAGTTGGACTGACTTACCTGTGTCTGTACTCTGCGCCCTCGGCACGATGAACCTCAGCCTCTCTTCCGGGAATTGATAGACTTCCACTCTCTTGTCGTCTCTGGCGGGTACGGCGATGAGTACAGAGTCACTGCGAGTGGAGTCGTCGATTTTGGAATGCTCGACAAGTTGGTGCGACTGTGCAGAGGGATGGTTATCGTTGTGAGACATTGAAAAGGCACAGAAGTTCAGGGTATTGACAGGAAGGGTATGCAGCAGCCATGGTTTTGGCTGGTCGGCCGCTGCTTGATCCGCTGGCAAGGTGGTTGACAGTGTTGCTTCGTCGGCCTGGCGCAACTGCCATATTCTGAGACTGTTGTCACGGCCATGGCTAGATGGCTTGCGCGATTAGCCAATTTCCAGGCATGTATAGATTTTATAGTGTGGGAACAAGTTGGAAGAGGAGAGGCATGTTGGACTGCGATCATAGCACTCTACTCACGTGATGATCCTGTCGCGTCCCCATTCGGCGGTGCCCAGAATGGCAGCATGATGAGCCTTCCAGACAGCCAAGGCTCGTTTGGTCTCGACCTTCCAGTAGACAACCCAGCCGTCAGCATCGCCCGTCAGCAGACGAGTATTCCGACGAAGAAAGCAGAGGCTATGGATTGGTGCGACATGGCCACGCAGGATATAGCTGGGCTGGGGGGGTGGACGGGTGGCGGTCTGGCGCGCAACGGCCATGTGTGAGCTGAGGTTGCGAGTCTAGGTAAGGCGGAACGAGGTGTGAAGGGAGGCCGGGGCCCAGGACCAGAGAAGAAGCACAGGTCCAGAACAGAGACAGGCATCACACGGAGTCTTGAACCGGCAGAGCTGGATCGATGGACGATGGGGCGCAGGGATCTTCCAAGGTTGTTGTTGTACGGAAGAGAGCGTAATGGCAAAGACTGGTAAGATTAGACGACTCGCCATGTCCAAAGCCAGTTCCATTGTCTCACAGACACAGCACAGCGGCTTGAACAAAAACATCAAAGCCATCCGTTACCTGCACATCATGGCCAACCATTCATACCCATCCATGGTAAAGGAAGCTGGATTCGGCCTCGGCCTCTGGAGCCTGCCCTCAGCCGCATCTCTGTGCTTGCAATGCTTCTCTCTCTCTCTCTCTCACACACACACACACTCTCTCTCTCTCTCTCTCACACACACACACACATGAACCACCAGTCTGCCCCAGTCCAGATAGATCCGATTGTTGTTGTCGGCACAAGAGTGCCAATCCCCAACTTCATTTACGCCTCGGTTCCTGTACATGTCATATACGGTAGGTACCGGTACTGCTTGGGCCCTCGTCTAGACCTGCCGCCCCCCCCCCCCCCTTCGGCGTCCTGAACAAGGGCGAATCCCCGCCCCATCCTTCGTCATAACTGTATACTATCTCTTCTACGCCTGCAGACGCGCCAGCCCGCAGAGAGCAGAAATCGATAATCCAGATTCCCAGCTTTGCGCCATTCGCATTCGTCTTTTTTTTTTTTTTTTGCTTCTTTCCTTCTTCCACCCTCCTGACCGTCTTCCAAGCAATCCCCACTTCCTGCTGCGAATTCGCCGGTTCCGTGTCGCCCTGCAAGCCGTCGCGTCCAGAAGGGTTGCCCGCGCCGACTTCATCGCTGTCCGCCTCGCATAGTACTTACACACACACACACACACACACACACATACATACACGCCTGTCCTCTGATGCCCATACTCAAGCCCACCCGCCGACTCTATCCTTTTACTCCCCCACAACGGCTAGACTCACAAGCACAACGGCACCTTGCTTGCATCGCGCATCGAACAGCTCAGCTCACAAGTACTTTATTCTGAATACTACTATCGCGTCCTTCTTTCCACACTTTGGTGCCTGTCGCCAATTGAGAGAAAAGGGCTAGGCTGCGGTCCTGAAGGCAAAGACTTCCCAGCACCACTACGTCAGCACGCCATCTACCCTTACCCGCCCCAAGTAGCCACACGTCCACCACTCCTCATCCTATACCGGGCCCGCCGGTCGCCCACCTCTGGCGAAGCAGTCGAGGACGACCCACATGCCGTCACGGCGCGACCGCCATGGCCACCACCATAACCCCTCCTCAACAAGACTCGCCAGGCAATCGGATAGTTCCCGTCAAGAAAAAGGACAGCGATGCGACCCCCGATGGGAAGCCGAAGCGGACGCGCACTGGCTGTCTGACCTGCAGAGAGCGTCATCTAAAGTGCGACGAGACGAAACCCACCTGCAACAACTGCTCAAAGTCGCAACGCGAGTGTAATTGGGGCAAAAAGCTCAATTTTCTCGACACGACCTGCGAAAGGAATGCCTACTTGATCCCCAAGGGGCTCGACTATCAGATTGCCTTTCAAGACGAGTCGAGGCTCATCGCCGGGGAATATGTCGGTGGGAGGGAGATGTACCCAGAAGAAGACCACGAGTCGCACATGGCAATGAGCGGTCATGGCTTTGCTATGGGACCGCCGGGCGTCTTGGGTCCTTCTGTGTCGTCGCGCCAGCATGTCCCCTCTTTGCAGGGTATGAGCCATGAGCCATACCCTCAGGCGGAACAAGACTACAATTTTGATCACCAGCGAGCGTCATCGCAGCAGCACGCGCGTGCACGTAAGTCATCGCTCGTACCTTTCCTATTCACGCGATGCCTTCCATGGGCCCTTTGCTATTTGGAGCCAAATTCAATAGGATCCTGCCATGATAGGCTCGCACAAGGCGCTTGAAGCCCACTTTTGCTGACCTTGGGTAGCCCCTCATTACTCCAATACGGCCCCGTCCTCGTATACGGTAGAGCAGTCAGGCAGTCCGACACCGCTCCCGACACGCGATTACCTCAAAAGCCAGGAGGAGGTGCTATACATGCAAGTCTTTGTCGAGGAAATCGGTATATGGATGGACAGCATGGATGCGCACAAGCACTTCTCCCGGCTACTGCCTTTTCACGCCTTGAACGAGCCTATGCTTCTCCATGCATTCTTGGCTTGTGGCGCTCGACATCTCGCGCTAGTCAACCCAAAGTATAGTGAAGAGAAGGCGCTTCATTACTACGATGTGGCAACACGGGATTTGCTGCACTCTCTGCAAGACCCTGATCGAGATACCATACTTTGTGCGACCACGGCAGTCATTCTTAATGTTTACGAGATCATGGGTGAACGTGCACTGCAAAGGATGAATCATATCGCGGGCGCCCGCGCATTGATCAAGGAATGTCGGTGGAACGCTAGAGCGACAGGCATTGGTGCGGCATGCTTTTGGCTGAATGTTGGCATGGAGATTTTAAGTTGTCTGCACTTCAACTGGCAGGTCGCGTGGGATCCCGATGACTGGGGCATCGAAATGGACTTCACTCCAGAGACCGAGTCCGGCAAAGAAGAGGTATGGACGCATCGGATCTTGTACGTTGTGGCTAGGATATGCAACTTCCGCGCCTCGATACCCCGAAACCCGGATCATGCTAGGCAGACGTTGCAAGATCGGCACAATGAATGGCTTCGCTTGAAGGAGATGACGGACAGGTGGAATGAAAACATACCTCGAACGATGCATCCCATGGCATACCTCTACCCTGGACAGACCATCTCAGGATCCGCATTTCCAGAAGTCTGGCTGATCAAAAGAGCGTCCATCATAGCCCGGCTTTTCTACCACACATCACTCGTCTTGCTCGCGCAAATCAACCCAATCCAAGGACCGAACGAGCCGGAGATGTGGAACATGCTCGAGCAGAACTCCAAGTTCATCTGTGGCATCAGCGCCCACGTCAAGGATCGAGGAGTCGCAAGTGTGGCTCTACGGTCACTGGCCATTGCTGGAGAGTGTCTCACAGATAGGCGAGAGCAGGAGGAAGTTTTACAAATCTTCGACAAGATTCGGCAGGAGACTGGTTGGCGGGTCGGCTTTGTCAACACCGAACTGAAGCAGAAATGGGGCTGGGACACACCGCAAGGCCAAGAGCAGCAACAGCAGCAACAGCAAGCTCAACAACAAAGACAACAACAACAACAACAGCAACAGCAACAGCAACAGCAACAGCAACAGCAATCACAAGACCAACAACAACAACAACTAAACGGCCGCCTCCAAGACCCCCTCCTCTTCCAACAACAACAACAACAACCCCTCGTCGTCCCCCCACAAATCCCCCAAGTCACAATGCCCCCCGCACCCCCCGTCCCCATACGACGACCCACGGGCTTCGGAAACCCCCTCCTCGTCGCCGACTTCAGCATGCCACAACACCCCTATCAGACACACTATGTGCCCGCCAACGCCGTCCAGCAACATCACGCATCTACTACTCTACTCCAGCCGCCGATGAACGGTGTGAATGGCTATGGGACACATGGGTTTTATTAAGATTTGGAGTTTTTTCTTTTGGGTTGATGAAGTATGGAATGTAGCAAGCACTCGTGGCGCACCGTCTTTTCTCTTTCTCCATGTATTTTTTTGGGCCTTTATGGTTGTGGATGAAAAGTTGGGTGTGTGTTGCCTGTTCAGGACTTGGGTTTGTTCTTGTTGGGTCCGGGATAGCTGCGGATTCACCATGTCTGGATCATTTTAATTTTAATTTTTATTTTCCTTTTTTTTTTCTTGTATTACATTACATAGGGAAGGAATTGTTGGGAGGTGGTGCGCGCTTTTCTGCTATCAAGACTTTGCATTTTTTTTTCTTCTTGTCGCGGCGTGGTTTTGCTACATTTTTGTTGCTGGTGTCTGTGAAAGCGGGAGCTTGTTTACACGTCCGATTCGTGTGTCTTTATTCGCGGTTTTTGCATTTTTGCATTTCCCAATTTGCTTCTCGTTTCGCATCTTGTCTTTTCTGTTTTATCATTCCTCCTTGTTTTCATCTATGCTTGTATTTGCAGTCACGATGTCATGAAGTATATCATCTCGTATCTTTCCTTCCTTTTCTTCCGCGGCTTGGGCGTTTTGTCCGCTGGCTGAAGGGCGGGACGGGACGAGATGGGACAGGACGGGGAAAGTGAGGGAAGTAAAGGAAAAGCAAGTACACAATCGCAAAGGAAGAAGGCTGGCCTGGTACATATTATACCCCCCGTATCTTATCGTGTGAAATATACACAGTAACACGTCATTTAGAGCAGGGGAATAGAGGGTGCTTGTACTGTTTGATCCGCGTTGCTTTTGCTATTCGCCGACTGTTGCTCCTGCCGCCGTTGTTGATTGCTACTCTTACTATCCACTAAACCCAACCATCAAGCGCACGCCCAGCAGCCGCTCAGCAGATCAATAGCTACCCATCCGCCGCACCATCCGCAGGAGCGAGAAGAACTCCCACCCTATCCTTTGTCTGCTCGCCCGCTTGAATTCCTGAGCGGAACCCCTACTCTAGCACAATCGTGATTTGCAGTGTACATTACTAGATTTAATGTCACACTCTACAGAATACAAGGGGTGTACTTTTCCCTCCTAGCTAGCAAAAACTCGCGGACTTGGTTATGCTGGCTTGGGCGGTGTAACATGGGAGAGGTGGTGCAGTATGTACATGTACCGCACACAATGAACGGGTATATATACGCTAGAACCGGGGGTTGGGGGGATGGCACCATGTGCCTAGTGTATTCCGTGAATCCATGCGTCCGGCAAGCATAGACTCATTGTCACCGCGGACATCTGTCTTGGAAGGACTGCACAGGCGCCCTACTTTGTGTGATTTCGACGGTGTAGCTGATTGCGATAGTTCCATGCTAGTGGCATGCTGGGTGGAGGCCGAAGCGGACGTGCATTGCGTTACTGGACTTGTGTCATGGTAGAAGAACAAGGAACACAAAGGTTGGTAGGGTCCAAGGTTGGTGTTTGGGAGTGTGGTCTCCGTTTGGAGACTGATGCTGGACTCGTGCTTTTTACTTCCCAAGTCTGTCCTATTCGAGGATATGGAAAGAGAGTCGATCATATGTCTGTGGTCCTGATTTGAAGTTCGCCAGGTAGGTCGTGAAAGGGCGGCGGCCTAGGTTTGTTGTAGATGGTGAGTTTTCCTGCGATAGATTGCCGTCGATTCTGAATGCGAATAAACGAACAGACATGAGACAACCTGCGATATAGTCCATTCCAGCAGACTCCCCTTCCCAGATGAGTCCCGATATGTCCGCCAGTTACTCCAGCACTTATCAACTCGAGTGGAACTCCGGGAGCCAATCATCAGATCCCATCGTGTCATCTTCCGACTTCTGCAAATGCATGACTTCTGCTGCTCGCCTCTTATACTCGGGGTCTCGTCCATCAACTACCCACCCCACATTCTCCTTGATCTCATGCATGTGAAACGGGCAATCCCATCCGCTGTAGAGATAGTCGTTGAGCTCTTCCTGCACCATGCGGCATCGATGGAAAAAGTACTGTGTGTAGCCGCACTGCTGGATCCAAGTATAGACTGGTCGACCGATGGTCGTATTGTATTCTTGTTGGGTATAGTAGACTCGTAGTTCTTGGAACAGCTCTTGTGTGTTTGAAAGCCGCTCGTGTTGGCTTGGCGCTGTGGGTTGGTTGTAAGATAGCAGTATGTCCTCGAAAGTGATTTGCTGCGCGTTGACCATCTGCTGCAAGGAGCTGAGTAAACTGGGGTGTGCGACCATGTATCCTCGAAGCGCAAATATCTTAAGTTGAGCCAGTAATGTAGGCGGCAGAATCTTGTCTGGAAACAAGCAGGACATGTTACCGCCACTGTTTTTCAGGTCCAGATGCGTGAGATGCGACAGCTCACTAAGAGCGCGGTTCAAGTAATTATGCATTAGGCCAGTGTCATCAAACTCTACCTTGTCATAGAGCACAATCTGAAGTCGCCGGAGTGGAGCTGTGCGAAACAGCTGTATGGTCCGATCAAGTTCCTGGTTGGGATGTCTGAAGATCTGGTGACTAATTCCAGCAGGTTCACTGCCAGAATCAATTAAGAATTCCTCGACCCCATTCCCTTGTGAGAGCAAAGCAGAAGTAACGATTGTGTAGCCTCGCCAATCACCTGGTAGAGATCCATTGATGGGTACTGTCAACATCCCTGTACGGCTTTCCAACTCTGCTCCCGGTTGACTTGGACGGCGACCACACCATGGCCATACAGTAGGTTTCCGAAAACCTATGGGCAAAGATCGACTGAACGGCGTATCGTAGCGAGGTACAAAGTGCCATGGCCGCCATACCTCGCTTGTTAGAGTGACCCTCTTCAGGTATGGAAAACTGCGCAAAGCCTGCTCGAGAGCGGCGACGTCCACTCCCTGTTTCATGAGATCCTGCTCTTCGTGATATAACCTACTATACAAAGCATAGCTGTCTTCTACACTCATCATCATCGCATTTCGAGCCAGGACGGCACGAGAAAACCTGTCATCGTATCGTAGTAAAATATTCTTTGCTGGATCGCTTAATCGTCCATCTTGATGGAAGAAGTCATCTCGTTCCAGGGGATAGTAGTCGCCGTCTGTGCGGTCTCGAGTGGACGCCTCCAAGCGATCCTCGAGCTTCCTTGTCCATTGCAAATCATCAGCATCTATTGCTCGGCGAAAACTTTCCAAGGTAGGGTACTCTTCGAGCTGTGCATCATCCCACACAATTTCTCGAACGCTGTTGCTATGTCGTGGATGCTTTAAGATCCATTCCAAACAGGCCAGATTAGCGCGGTTAGGTGAGATGTACACTCGATCGATTCGTAGATCCACGTTTTTCGCCAGATATTGGCTCGTCAGCCGGAGTCTCTTGATGTCCAGTTTCGAGAGGTGATCACACGTCAGGGACAACAGCGCAGCGGGAAGATCCAGTATAGTTTTCCTGCTCGCTCGTCCAAGGCCGCTGCTTGTTGCGAATGCTTCTGGGAATTCATCACCAAACAAATCCTTCATCAAGCTCAAAGAAGGGACGTTGTTGACAGTCGCAGCCGAAACGGTAGACACACGGCGTTTGGAAACTCCCGCACGATGAGTCAAACTTGGTTTGCGACGATGAGATCGTGCAGGCCTAATCTGCAGGTTTGAAAACATATAGAGAATGCCTTTGACTTTTTTTTTTGGCTGTTTGTATACAGTAGTAGAAGAGTGCCGAATCCTAGCCATCCGCACTACATGTGGGGGCTGAAAGTCGGTGGGCGGGACGGCTGAAAGGGCATAAGGGCTTTGCAAGAAGGGAGGGCCACCAAGGCCAAGCTATGTATATTTGAGGCTCAATATGGTGCCGAGAGTCAAATCCGAGTAATGTCTGCAACATAATGTCGAAAGAAAGAGTTGTTGTTGGGTGGTAGTGAAACAAGGTTGACATGCTGGCGAATTAATGCAAGGCTAACCCTCGTCATCACCTTAGGCGAGATTTCCGGGCGAAAATGGCGAGCTGCACACATGTCACGTGAGACAATTTGGGTTCTGAAGCTTTTCTCTCCTGTGGAACACACGAACTCAGGAGATGACTAGTCTTAGTACCTAATGATACTATCTTGAAGGCCTCAATCAAAATTCAGCCGGTTCTGGAGAGCGCAGTCAGTTGGGGTCATCTATCAACTGCCGTGGCAGTGGCAGTCTGCCACTTTAGGCGCCCGCAACACTCTCAAGCGACCTCACATCTTCAGACACTACTCGGAACAGTTTGATTCATATTCCATTATCGCGTCAGGTGCTTTCCAGCAACCAGAGCGATCCTTCGGTACTATATGAAGACATCTGCTGCTATCGCACCTAGCAGGCAACCAGCGAGAACTCGGACGATGAGCATCCAACGCAGGGCGACCACAATCAGTACACTACTGCTCAACTTTCCAGATTTGCAGTGCACTATATATGCCGTCCGCGTGGACACACCCGTTCTTCCCATATCGATATGAAGATTGACCAGCACCCGAGTGCATATCCATACCCCTCATAGCAATGCTGAAGCATGGCATATGACCGAAGCCGTGTTTGAAGTCGAAGTCAGGGAAGGAGCGAGTCGTTCATCTAGCCAGCCTCCTCTTCCACCTTCTTGTTCTTCTTCTTCTTGCCGCCACCCGAGCCACCAGACATGCTTGATGTTGGCTGGCTCGACTGGTGGACAATGAAGCGCGTGTAGCACTCTTCTCGATCCCACTCGAAGCCAGCTAGGTATGGCTTCTCAAACTCGTCGTCTTGCTGAGGAAGACATTAGCACCTGTTCGTATCATGGCATTCCGACATTGCACATTCATCCCGAAACAGCAGGGAAGCTCTGTGTCGAACAAAGGCAAGAGGTCTTAGGCACACTTACGCGCTTCTTGAATTGCTTATGAATGGCATCTAGCGCATCCTTGATGGTGACACCCTTGAGGTTCCTTGCAGTGACCTCAAGTCCGAGTGGAAAATGCAAGGTGATGGATTTGAGCTTGGGGTTGGTAAGTGGCAGTTTGAGTACAGCTGGGTCCTCAACCGTTGTGGGTGACTTGTTAAGCTTCCTGAGGACCATTGGGTCAGCGTTGCTTCATCTCGTCGACACGAGCAGGGTGGGGCTGGACAACAACGAGGATGCGAAAGTAAACACCAAAGACGAGAGGAGCTTTGAAACCTACCATCCGAGCTTCTGTGTCTCAATAGAGATCTCGATGTCCTTGTCCTCCTTCTCTATCAGACTGTCAGTCTCAACTACCCCTCACGCATAGCCCCTCACTTGGCTCCAGCCAGCAGGGAAACTCACCTAGGTCTTCGATCCGGTAGACATCAGCAGCCATGGAACTGGCTCTGCGATGGCCCTTCTTAGCAGCTCCATCCTTGTTCTCCTCAACGAGTGAGTCGACCTTGTGGAGAGTTTCTTCAGTTGCAGCTGCCATGGTAGTGAAACAGCAAAGGGGGGACAATAAGCTTGGAGCTGATGAGGGAGGTGAGTAGTTTGAGAGCTGTAGGAGCCGAGTTGTTGGCGTGTGAAGCTGAGGGCAAGACAGAGCGCAAAGCAAGGTGCTGAGACGGAGGAGAGAGTATGAAGAAGGAAGGGAGTGGAAGGGAGGGCGGGCATGCTTATGAGGCATCGGCGGAAGCACAGGGCTCTCCAGCAAAGTCACTTGATGTGCACACCACCATGTCGAGCCAATCAAGGCGAGACGCGATGGATGGGAAGAGTGCGGGGAAATTGCGGGGGGTTGAGCTGGAGGCTTGCTCACGTCCAACACGGGAAGGGTGCCTGGCGGGACAGCAACAGATGCTGTGGTAGCTCAGCAGAAGCATGCAAGCTAGCCCATTGAGCCTCTTTGATGTCGCCGTCGACTTCAATTGCGCCGCATTTCTCTGCGGTGCCTGTTGTTGTGATGTGGTGGTGGGTACCGTTCAGGTACGGTGGTGAGGTGATCACACGACAGTTACGTCATTGGTCAGCCCACAAGGGAGGGAAAGCATACTCTACAAGTGCTCTACAACAAGCCCGAGGATTTACAGTAGCAGGGCCGCGTTCAGATGCAGCCGTCCAAGCTCTCCACTCGACTTGCCCAGAATCTACTCTAAATGCAAGACGCGAATCTTGAAGGGCGGGACCGGCGTCGGGCCTGCCCAGAGATCGCGAGGCACGCAGTTACTCTAGAAACCTACTGACTCTACTCTACTACCGTATAGTCCTCGATTGTACTACCCTAATGACATGCATGTCACGAGGGTGGGGCCCAACGCAATCGTTAGCCGCCAGTTGTCAACAACAGGCTAAAGATGTGGTGGAACGTCAACGGGGCCGTGGCATAGGTACGACTATACATGGTATATATCCACCTATGGCGACTTGTCAAGATACTAGGAATGGCCAACAACCTTCACGGGTTCATACAGCTCCTCGAGATACTGCTCCTCCTCCTCGGTCAAGGTCTTACCCCTCGCCGCCAGCGCCTCGTCCATCCTCTCGACACTCGAGAAGCCGATGATCGGGCTGGAGACTCGCTTGTTGATCCAGGCAAGAGCCACATGGCTCATCTTCCAGCCATGCTTCTGTGCCATCTCTTCAACGCGCCCGATGATCTTCTTGTCAATCGCCGTCGTGCCCGAAGTTTGCTGGCCTGCCTTTTGCTCGCCTTCCGAACGTGTCGTGCTGCCAAAGGCCGAAGGGGGACGCGCAAGATGGCCGCGACATAACGGTGCCCACTGCAATCAAGTTACTCATGGGGCTCACCACATGCTTTGCTCATAACGTTCATGCGCACGTACCGGAATCAGGCCAACCCCAGTATCATTGCAGAATCGGTTCATCTCCCGTTCCTCCTCACGGTACAGCAAGTTGTAATGGTTCTGCATGCTGATGAATTTTGTCCATCCATGCTTCTCCGCTGTGAATTGCATCTGGGCAAACTGCACAGCCCACATGGAACTTGCACCAATGTACCTGACCTTCCCACTCTTGATCAAATCATGCAGTGCCTCCATAGTCTCTTCCACTGGCGTGTGTGGATCAAATCGGTGGATTTGTAGAAGATCAATGTATTCCATATCCAGACGCTTCAGCGACGAGTTGACCGCATTGAATATCGCCTGGCGCGACAGCCCACCCTGGTTCGTGTAGTCCTTGAGTTGCGGCAACTCCTCCGCGTAGTTGATCGTCCTAAGGCCAGGGTCTTCACCCACGTATGCAAAGCACTTTGTCAGTATGACGAGTTTCTCTCGAGGCAGATTGTACTTCTTGATTGCTTTGCCGACAAGTTCTTCCGAGACGCCGTTGGAGTATACATTGGCTGTAAAAGGGTGTTAGCAACCCAAACAACATGACATAGCATATAGTAAAACATATCACGAACCAGTGTCCCAAGTCGTCAAGCCGCGATCCCACGCAGCCTTCAAAAGCGGAAGCGCCTCCTCCTCTTCAATTACCCAAGGTTGCCACTTGGACGAACCGATAGACATAGCACCCAAAATTGGCACAGAGACCCTCAGCCCACTCTTACCCAATTGCTTGTATTCGGCTTTCGATTCCATGAGGAGGCCTTGGATGTCGAGTTTGTCTGGCATAATGGCGGTTTTGAAGAAGCTCTATAGAATATCAAAGTGGTTCTTGGGCTGGGTGAATTAGATTGCGTTCAAATGTAGACATTTGGGGGGATCTCCTGGTTTTTATAATAGCTGCAAGGGATCGGCATACTAGAGGTCAGCAAGCAAGCACGGAAGAATAGCTATTGAGAGCGGCTTTTACGGCGATAGTCGATGACATTGCCGGTGGTAACATGGAGGGGGATGCGGGGCGTGTGATCCCGCGCCAAGCCTGCGTCATGCGATGATGCCTGTCGTTGAATATCAGATGTTCCCCCCAGAAAGGAACGTCTGTTCCAAAGAGTCGAACCAAATGATCACCAAATTCTCCAATCCCAAGTCAATCGTACAGAGCCATGTGTCAGTCCTGATTACACGTCTGGTATAAAATTAGAATAGCTTCAAGCTTCATATCAACGGCCAGACAGTGGATCACAAAGGTGAACGGATGGGTCCATCAGGTCATTGATGGTATTGTTGTTGAACATCGTTTTTGAGCTTAAACCCCCAGGCGCCAACCGCAGTGTGTAATGCAGAGAAGCTCATAGATGATCATATGCCCGTAAAGAAACCCGCACTCCCCAAACAGTCTATGCATCCTCGATGTTGCCCCGCTCTGAAACGTAGAGACCGTCCAAGAACTTTCGGATATCCTTGTTGCGGACCTTGCAGATTTGCTGGATGTCGGCGGCGCTCTGGGAAACATCCTCGAGACTCTGCCGTCTCGTTAGTCCAGTTAATGACGACCAAACACGAATTGCCTTACGTTTCCAGTGAGTTGCAGCTCATCCTTCTGGTTCTTCGATGCCTCGACGTTGACACCGGGCCTCATGGTGACCCTTCGTACAAGCTTCTCACCGACGAAGTTCCTGATCTCAACCTCGAATACGTCGTCCTTGTTCTTCTCGATGTTGACGTTGATGGGGAAACTGCGCTTATGTTAGCGTCCTCCTTTTCGCTGACAGTCGACCAGGAGAAGCCTTCCAGGCAATTCCCCCTCGTATCCACAACAAGATTACATAGTCTTTCATCTATGTGCGAATTGCAAGTGACTCCGAACAAAAGTTGAGGATACGAGACGGCGGGTCGGGTGTTTGATGCGCATCGTGAATAGGAGGAACATACTGGGCATAGACGTAACGCATCCTAAGGTCCATTGTTAGCGACGTCTTCTTTCGATCGTCCCATTTGACGCTTACTTGTACTTGAAACCCTTGGTGACACCGATGATCAAGTTGTTCTACCATCAGTCAGGCTGTTGCTCGTTCTCATAGTATCTAAGCCCGGGAGGCTTTCGACGTACAATCAGAGTCCGGACAGTGCGAAGAGTGGCAACGCTCTTGCGCGATCCGTGGTGGAGCTCGATCTTGATCAGGTTGTTCTTGGGCTACAACCATGTTAGCCCATTTTTCCTTGTCGCCATATCCGAACTCGACGTACGTGGGAAAAGGAGACCGCCAAGTGACCCAAAGACTTTGAGAGCTTGCCCTGCAGGTTGTGAGAAGACGTTCGACATTGATGATTCTTTCAACATACTCGGGGACCTGAAGTGTATAGTTAGCATGTGTTACCCCGATTGAACGCGCAATCCTGCACTCACCCTCAACGACAACGTTCCTGGTCTTGATAGAGACCTTGACCCCCTCGGGGATCTCGAGCAATTCCTCGGAGTGGCTATCGCGCAACTGTTAGCCCATGTCCAAGCCATCTAAAATTTCGATGTGTGCGGTCGTGTGCGTTTATGCGAGAACTCGTAACTCGAAATTGGGGACGGTTTTGGTGTGCGATGTAGCGAATCGGATATTTTGACTGGGTGTTAGACGTACATGTACTTCATCTTGAGGGTTGCTGTGGGTTAACGGTGTCGATTGAGGTGGATGTTGAATTTGCGAATAGTGAGGCCCAACTGTGCGGCGAGCGGAAAATCCATAGCCGAGACGTTCGCGGCCTAACCGTTTTTGGACAGGCTAATGTGGATTTGATCTCGCCCACCCCATCGCCATCATGAACTCCAATGCGACAAGGAGTACAATCCTTTTGACTTTGCATGGCTTTTAGTCCAAAAAAGCTTTCTGTGAAGATAAAGCACCCATTACTTCCATCTATCAAGGTTCGCAGCCATTTCTCACTTTTGTCAAAGCCAGTATGGCCATTCACAGCGACGATTTTTCATCTTAGTCAAAGATCAGTCTCTTGGTAAAATAATTATATCTATAGACTCAATATAGCATCTAATGTTGCTCCGCTGCATCTTTTCCTTCCGACTAGATCTATCCGAGTAGCTATCGCCATCCTCATCTACCAATCTGCCCACTTCACGAGTTCTACCTTCCGAGCAAATTTGTTGGCAATAATGCTGTCGCAATAACGCAACCCACAGTCATGCCTCCAGCAAGATAAAGCACACTGTTGATATCCCTCTCGCCTGACTTACCTCCGGCATACAGATGCTGTGCAATCAACGGGCTAATGATTCCGAACAGTCTACCCCAGAAGCTTGCGATACCACATGCGGTTCCTCTTATCGGGGCTGGGAAGGCTGAAGGTGTCCATCCGTACAGAACAGCGTTGAACATGGATTGGAAGAAGTATTCCATGATGTTGAAGCCAATGTTAGACGCTGCTGAGTTTACGCTGCTGAACAAGAAGATGGATATGGCCATCATTGCGGATGATGATACCATCGTCCATTTGCGACCGATACGCGGTGCTCGGTATGCGAGCGTTCCCAGAAGCACACCAAAGACCCCCGGCATGTAAATGTATATGTAAGATCGGTAGGTGTAGTCCAGAGAGAGGTTGAGCGCACCATTCTTGAGAGCTAAAATCTGTGGTAGGTAAGTTCCTGGATGTTTGCGTCAGCCTATACAGTATAGTATCGACTACAGAGCTCTCTTAGCTTACCAGCGACAGTAAACCCCCAGTAGTCGCAGATATAGGTCAGCCATACCAAAATCGTAAGCCTTGTCATTTGGAAATCCGAGAATAGGAGCCGGAATCTATGCTGTTCGAATTTGACTTTGTCGACCCATGTCGATTCGAGCTGTAAAGCACCGCTTCCAAGCACAGGTTTGCGACTCTGGGCGAGATCAGAATCGCGGTCTAAAGACTCAAATTTGTCCAGTGATATACCACAAGTTCGGCCGTTGTAGTGGGCTATATTGTGTAACACCTGCACGGCTTTGGTATCTTCACCGCGATACACTAAAAACTTTGGAGACTCTTGAAACCGAAAAATAACGGATCGCAGGAGGAATGCAACCAATGTGACCGCACCGAGAGTGAATAACAAGTAGCGCCACCCCATATTGTCTGCCTTGGAGCAGCAAGGTTCCCCCGATGCAATCATGCTACATGCTGGTAAAGGGTTCTTCTCCGAGAAATTTGGACTGCAAGAATAGTTCGGGATGAATCCATAGGCAACGATGCTGCAGATCACTACCCCGAGAGGCTGAAATATGGAAAGCAGAGGCAAGAGATATCGTTTGCTCTGCGGTGTGAACTCCAGGGTTATCATGGTGTCTTGGGGAATATTACCGCCTATTCCGAATCCAGTCAGGGCAGTGAAGATGAGTATGGAGTAGTACGTGCTCGGCACAGCAATGAAGGTACCGAATGCGCAAGCAAGCAACACTGTGAGGTTGAATACTCTCTTTCGTCCGATAACATCAACCAAAAGGCCCCACACAAGCGCACCCGCAGTCAGTCCAATGGAGAATGCGGTCGACAACTTGCCCGTCTGATCAGGACCGAAGCCCATCTCCTGCTGGATGGGAGATAGGATAAGACCAAAGGCTTGAGCCCACATCAAGTCAATCAAGTAGCCAAGTCCGCACAATGCCCAGATCGACCATTGGTATCGGCCCATGCCCATGTGATCAATCTCCTGATCTTAAAGGGTTTCAAGAAATACAATCAGTGATGTTTCATGATAGAAGCAACGGAACTACATACCGATTAATAGACATTTTCTCTCATAGAGTGAGAGTTGCCCCTCATCTAGCTGCTCGGCTAGAGATGGAGTGCTTGTCTTGTCATCGTCTTCTGCTGGGGCAATCTGGGAATTTGCAGAGCGGTTGAGTATGGTAGAACGGTCGGTGTCCAAGGGAGAAGCTGAGACGTAGTTTTCTTCCTGGTTCAGCAGTGGCTCGGCTTCATGGACGTATATAGAACGGTTCGCCATGCTGTGCATAGCGCTTCAAGTGATGGAACTGATCAGACGCCCCAAAGCATTGCTTTTCTCCAGGTGTTTTCCCCCTCTCTGTGAGGCGAGTATGCAACGAAATATCTACACTGTGCATGTCATCCCTCGGAATGCGGGAGGGCTAGCATACATTTCGGCAGCAGCTAAGCGACACCGATAAGCCCTTTGCACCACTTAGAACAAAGGACTAAGGCAGCCAGAAATCTGCATGCGTAAGTCAGATGCGAAAGTAGTACATCAGGAAGGCACAGAGATTGCCATGTGGTAGATGATAGGGTGGCAGTGATTACTGCATCTTAGCGACCATGGGGGATGTGGGCAGACAGACGATAGTCCATCGATCGTAGCTTGCGTTGGGCGATTCCACAAGCAGGTTTGGGCATCAGCGAGAGTCTTCCCAGTTTCATGCGGACCTAGTTGAAGATAGAAGGCCCGGGGTGCCGCGATGTTGAGCTCTGGACAGGGAAGTCTCGATCAAAAAGTGATGGAGAGCAAGGACTGTACCGGTACAGTACCGGTAACAGACGCTGATGGGGAGAACCCACGAAAACCTGCAGACACTAGAGTACATCTTCGTTCACAGGCTTCTATAATAGCGAGTTGCATCTTCCAGAATGAATCATGTTGCGAGCATAGTTCTGATCTGCAAAACAAGCCGTGGGGTTGATAACAACTCTCTTCTGAAGATATATGTATGTCGCTGTCCCATCCATCGGAACGATTTCACTGGCCCCTGTCTGCCAAGGCCCGGAGCGGCAGAACTGCTCGCCGGATGCTGGAACTTTTTTTCTGTCGCATAGCGTAGTCAGGGTAGTTAGATTTGTTGTTGCGCGAAAAGTGAACAACAGTTTGACTATCGATAATGGCTCCCCGTAGAAAACGTCAGCGCCTCTCTCTTGACGGTGCAGAGACTGTTACCGTCGCTGCGCCTACTGCTGAGCCCGAAAACATTGCCTCTTCCACTCCCACCACCACAGCTACAGCCAAGCCCAAGGAAGCTGCCCGTAGGCAACTCTTCGTTCGAGGGCTTGCGCCCACCGTCACGACCGAGGATCTCACCAACCACTTCTCCGAATCCTACCCGATCAAGAATGCGCTGGTAGTCTTGGACAAGGAAACCAGGGAATCGAAAGGTTACGGCTTCGTCACTTTCGCCGACGTCGAGGACGCGCAGCGAGCAAAAGAGGAGTTGAACAATTCCGAGCTAAAGGGAAAGAAAATCAAGGTCGACGTTGCCGAAGCACGACAGCGTGAGGGCGAAGAGAAGCGGCCGAAAGCAGGCGACCGCGCCAAAGCTGAGCGTGCACAACAGATCAAGGATGCACAAACACCTAAGCTCATCATTCGAAATTTACCGTGGACTGTTAAGACACCGGAGGACTTGCAGAAGTTGTTTCGCAGTTTTGGCAAGGTCAACTTCGTCAATTTACCCAAGAAACCAAACGGCGAACTGAGAGGATTTGGGTTCGTATCTTTGCGTGGGCGCAAGAATGCAGAGAATGCGATACGAGAGCTTAATGGCAAAGAGATTGACGATCGCCCAATCGCTGTCGATTGGGCCGTCGACCGAGACACCTGGCAAACCCTCCAGAAATCAGAGCAAGAAGGCGAGGAGACACAATCAGGGACTGAAAAGGAGGATAAGGAGATGGAAGACGCCGAGAGCTCGAATACGAGCGACGGCGATGACAATGACGATTCCGAAGCCGAAGCTGACGATAGCGAGGACGAAGATATGGATGACAGCAATACCGATTACGAAGACATATCCGAGGATGACGAGGATGGTGGTTTTGATTTAGACGAGGAAAATGACAAACCGAAGCGAGAGGAGTATACCATCTTCATCCGCAATCTACCATTCACCGTGGACGATGAGCGTCTGAAGGAGCACTTTCAACAATTTGGCGGCGTACGATTTGCGCGAGTGGTTATTGATCGTGAGACGGAGCGGCCAAAGGGAACTGGGTTTGTTTCCTTCTTCACAGAAGAAGATATGATCAATTGTCTGAAGGGCGTTCCGCGAGTCAAACTTCAAAAGAAAAACCTCGATAAGAAAGACGGGTCTACAATTACCGTCACGCACTCCGTTCTTGAAGATGCGGAGGCCGATCCAACGGGCAGGTATACAATTGATGGCCGTATCCTACAACTGAGTCGCGCTGTCGACAAAAATGAGGCGACCCGCTTGACTACTGAAGGCGCGGCGCAACGCTTCAACCGCGACAAAGACAAGCGTCGCCTGTACCTTCTGTCTGAAGGTACTATTTCATCCAAATCGCCTCTATACCAACATCTATCGCCGTCCGAAATCAAGATGCGCGAAGAGAGCGCGACATTGCGTCGCAAACAGATCCAAGAGAACCCCTCGCTCCACTTATCTCTGACACGATTATCTGTTCGCAACATTCCCCGCAGCATCACCTCAAAAGATCTCAAACAACTCGCCCGTAGCGCTGTTGTCGGCTTCGCTGCCGATGTCAAAGCTGGTAAGCGTAATAAGCTGAACAGGGAAGAAACCATTCGCGGTGGACAAGAGATGCTTGTCGCCGAAAAGATGCGCAAAAAGAAGGGCAAGGGTATCGTCAAGCAGGCGAAGGTCGTCTTCGAGACGCCGGCTGGTAGCAAAGTCGCCGAGGACACTGGCGCTGGCAGAAGTAGAGGATACGGATTCATTGAGTACTACACTCACCGCAATGCCCTGATGGCGCTACGCTGGCTTAACGGTCATGCTGTGGACTATAAAGTCAAAGGCGAGACCCCCAAATCCAAAGCCAAAGCTAAGGAAATGCTCGAAGACAAGCGCAAACGCCTCATTGTCGAGTTCGCCATTGAGAATGCGAACGTCGTTTCTCGTCGAACCGACCGCGAGGAGAAGTCCCGCGACCCCGCTAAGCCGCGAGCCGAAGGTGAATCAGATGATACTGGTGCGAAGAAGGGCAAGAAGCGGAAACGCGACTCCAGCGCTGCATCTACTCCTGCTTCGGGCACCGGAAACAAAGGCAAGATCGGCGGGAATAAGGGGAATTCGAATGCAGATGCCGAGGAGGATGCCAATGTAAAGGGTAAACTTGCGCAACGGACTCGAATTATTGCAAAGAAAAGACATGCGCGGAAAGCGAAGAGGGCTGGAGGCAAGTAGCAGGTTTCGGGCAATCGTGTTGCATTCAGCGAGGGCGTTCATGGCTGTTGTGCAGTACCGGTTAAGAAAAGTATATTATTGTTGCTCAACATTGTTCCAGTATAATGAAGAATACTTCAACAGGGCCAATGTCTTCGTGATGGAAAATTGCTGAGATGGTAGGCTGACAGGTAGCAATCAGGGGGTCGTTCGATGGCTGTCTCATCGTTACCTCAACCTATATGCTGCAACCTGAACTAGGTTGTGCTGCATGCCCCAACTGTAGCGTTGTATATGACTGTTAGTGTTTGCGCAGTTTCAGGTGTCTATATGCTTGAGGCTATCAAGCTCTAGAGAAAGTGGTTTGACGACAGCTCGTCTATGGTGTTACCGGACGATATCGCTATGCAAATAGAGCCACCCAATGAGTGTAATTTAGATTTCGGAATATCTATGCAAGTCATCCTGGAAGTTCCATGCATACACTCAAGACTTGTGCTGGTGGAAAGTTAAGAAGAATATTAGTATACACTCTTACAGCATGACGAGCCATGTCTGACTATGTAATACATACTGCTGTTGTGTCATGGCCGTGGTCAATTTGGTAATGCAGCTACAAGCTTTCACTGGCTGTTGAATCCGCATCTAGAGAGTGAGTATATGTAGATCCTTGGATATCCTTGAGCTTAATTTTCAGCATTTTACATATGAATCTCATTCGAATACTCTGCTAAGCCCAACAATCAGTGTTGAATCAAGACTTTGGTTGCAGCTGGTGCTACAGAAGGTGTGGCGAGAATGGCGTGGCGTGGCTGATGTGGCATGGCGTACCCCACCTGCCGAGGTATACCTAACATCTTCTCTCTGCATGGCAGCATCTTCCACAAGCCGAACATCATCTACATATCGATTCTAAGCAAGCGTAATCATGTCTGATGCTACAGAGCAACCGAAGGAGCGTTTCGCCCCAAAGCAAGCTGTGGCACTGAACCCACCAAAAGATGACATCATCGATCGCGAATATCTTGCCAAATGCGATGGTACGCTCGCTCGCCCTGGCTCTGCCTAGGGAATTATTGAAATCACTAGAAATTGACATCATATCCAGGTACAAGAGAAGGATTTCCTACTCTGGTGGCCATCAAAGTACCTAGCCCATAGTGAATCCATAAGACATCGAGCTGATCGTCGAACAGGGCGATGTCTTCGATGTGAGCGGCAAAGAGACCTACGCGCCTGGCAAAGGATATCATGGTAAGCTTAATCTGGCGCGTGAAAAGGCTCGAGGACCTTTGACTGAGCTCCCGATTAGTTTTTGCGGGCAAGGAACCGAACCGCGCCCTTGGACTTTCCTCTTTGAAGCCAGAAGACTGTATATCTGACTACTCTGCACTCTCTGATAAAGAGAAGCAGGTCTTGAACGACTGGCACACGTTCTTTAGCAAGAGGTATAACATAGTGGGTAGACTGCAGCCAGAGAGTGGCGCAAATCTTTAGGGCAAGAGAATCGTATAGGCTGGTTGGAAAAGATGGAGTCGTACGATAGCTTCCATTCGGCTGTATCAACTAGGAATAGAACGCTATTGCTGGTAATTTAACTAAAGTTGCAGAGGGTATCTAACAGAAAGGACAATCGCGACCAGAGGTGGCTACAGTTATACGGGGTTGGAGGCTATTGATCGAAGCAATTTCGCCAAGTCCATCCAAATTTATAGACACACTCATTCACTCACTCACTGGTGTATTCACCATGAGTCCAATAAGCGATAAGACTATCTCTGCCGCAGCTAAGACTGTTGACTCGCCTGCATTGTCGTATATTGGTGCCACTTCGACCACATCCGCACCAACAACGTCCAGTCCGTCCAGTCCATCAAGAACAGACAACAGCTCACGAGTACTCCATCCGCCAACCTCCGCCGTTCCTGTGGCTACAGTTTTGTGTTAAATCCAATTACCGGTGTGTAAATCCGAGAATGCGTAGCTTACCTGGCGCGAAGGCTGGATCAAGTACATCAATGTCGACGCTGATGTAGACTTTAGTGTCGGACACCCTAGCTTTCAGTCGTTCAATCACCCCAGCAACACCATATCGATCAATTTCTCTTGCTTTGATGATCTCAAATCCGCATCGGACGTCGTTCCGAAGATCACCTTTGGGCCGGACCATTGGCGCTCGAATTCCAGCATGAACGGAAGAGTTGCGAATTAAGCCCTCTTCGTGAGCAATGTGCAGAAATGTACCATGATTGACACCACTGTGCAGGTATCAGCAAACAAGAGCACACGATTTTTGAATTAGGGAACATGCGCATAGTGAGAGATTCCTCCACCTGTCTGGAGATTAGCACCAGTGCTTGCATGTGGCCAGAGGAGAACATACCCAACACCTCTGGATCCCAGGTATCCAAGTGACTATCAAAGTGGATGACACTAACAGGACCCCAGTGTGAGCTGGCCGAACGCAGAGCCGAGAGAGTGGTAGTATGGTCTCCTCCCAGGGTGATCATCCTAGGCGTTGTGCCCTTGCTCGACTTCGTTGGCCTCGAAGATACAATCTGGGCGTCACATGTCAGTTGCGTGAGGCCAATTCTGGTTGAGTGTTTGAATTTACCTTATGTGATTTGTCTAATTGCTTTAATGCTACAGTATTATCCTTATTGCAGGGTTAGTAGCCGTCTTTTTCCATCCGATGGAAACTTTAATCTACCAGAAATGTTAAAGGAGCATCTCCGCAATCGACGATCTTCGCCCAACTACGCAGCACATTTTCGCCTGTTTAAGCACGCCAAACTTAGTAAAAATTAAGAGATGTTGATAAATCCCCCATGTGCTTCCATCGACGTGACAAATCTGGGCCTCGACGGCCCGGCGTCGAGTGAGAAAGCTGTCGGAATGGCTCAGGCATTGTATTGAAGGGTCATCCAACAATTGGCATATTATATCTCTTGACCGCGATTCAGAATCGAAACAATACGTTTCGAAGATGACAGGTGAGACACACAACATACCGGTATAAACGCTCCATGCCGCTTCAGGGTGTATTCTCCACGATCCAGAACGTATACCTTGCGGGCCGAAACGCGCTCCCGGCCGTCCCGTCACGCCCTCTCCAAGTATCAGTACCCATGATCGAAGCAAAATATAAGTCCGAAGTTACAATGCGATGATGTAGTCATGTGCAATCCCACTTACTGTGTCAAAAGGCGCCCCCAAGATGGCAATATCGAATGGCTCCACATCATACCCTTCTGGAGCCAAACAATGCACATAAGGCAGGTTAGCGTAGGTTGCTAAACCAGCAAACTTCGGTGAAGTAACGTCCGGCTCTCTATAGCCTTGGGGTATGATGTGTTGAGACGTGTAGCCTGATGGAGGGGGAAACGTAATCTCGCGTGCGTTGATCATCGCGACTTGGTAGAAAGCAGCGATTGCCAATAGTGAGAGACCTGCCATTCTGATTTGTTTGAAGATAGGACTTTGAGATGTATTTTCAGAGAGATAAGAGTCCACGGGGTTCAATGTTTCCAGCAGACTTCCAGCCTCGAATTGGCAGTTGTAGCCGAGCGATCGAACCTTGGATTAAGCTAGTAGATTACTTGATCGAGAGTACACTAGTGCAATGGACGGCACTCTTCTGCCGTCAATGAAATAGAATCAAAAACTTGAGACAGCAAAAGAGCTGTTTCAAGATTTCTGCATCCGGTTCATACTCTCTACTATCTCTTGGTCCAAGATACACAATGTCGTGCAAACACTGTCTCCAATCCTGAGCATGGCTTGCGATCACTGATGTACCCGAGGAGACAAATCCTCCAAACCGCCACCAGTATTCAATCTTCATTAGCAGTCTCCTCACCTTTTCTTGATTCCATAGATCGACACGCATCCCGAACAGATTTCAATTCCACGATGCTAACAAATTTTGTGAACATTGCACGGATTGACCCTGGAGTAGTCACGAGAAATTGACTTGTATTTTTTTTTAGAATGTACAGACAATGTACAGTAATGCTATACAGATATGATGTAGACAAAGAGGATATATTGTGCTTGCGGCTTAGATACGTGTCCATCAATCGAATTTGTTCACAAATGAGACATGTCAAACCCTTCAGTTGTGGACTATCACCAGCACTTCCACCTCATACAAAAGCCCCGATGCTGCCAAACTCGCAACACCAAATGCAGTGCCCGGCGGCTTGTGTCCACCAGCTTCACGTTCCATGTACTCCATCCAAACCTCATTCCAGCCACGAAGTACCACAGGTTTCTTGTCGTTCTGGACATCGCCGCTCTCCTTGACAACGTAATGTCTCACATGGATAATATCTCGCTCAGTTGCTCCCACAGATTTCAAGCATTCATGTAGAGCGTTGCACGCGTCTTTGGCTTGAGTGACGATGTCCGGGGCTGAAGATCCGTCATCGCGCAATCCGGTCTGTCCAGCGATTGTAATGAATTTGGAACATGGTAGGATGGGTGTTACACAACAATGCGAGTATGACTTGTTCGGTTTTTTAATGGTTGACGGATTGGAGGTTTGTGGCAGATTGGAAGCAACTATAACGGCCATCTTGACGATCGAGTATTGAGGATTTTTTGATGAAGTGGACAGTGAGGTTGTGGAATGTTCAATAGTGAATGTAATGCTGATTTTCTGACAATGGGGGCAGAATCCAAGTCATTTATAGGAAAGCTGAAGTGTAACATTTATAAGCAAACTGATAAAACCTACTTGCAAGTCCCCCCACTCCACAAGCTCACAGCAAATCGTGGAAGTGGTAAAACGTCTACAGTATCGTCAATTGATTGATACAGGAAGAAAGGCCCGAATGTGAGCGGTTAGGTCCTTTGCCAAGGTTTAGGTAGGTACAAATGCAAGGGAGATCAAGTTGATGCCAAGAGGTTGAGATGTCGCAAATTTTGACGACACGAGACATGCCCTAGCTGGGATAAAGGGCCGAAGCGCTCTGACTGAAGGTAAAGCTTAAGTTGGCGGACTTAGTCCAGGTTTCGTAAATCCGTCCATAGAAGGCTTTTGATTGGTACGGGATGGCTTTAGTTTGGGGCTTCTCTTATCAAAATACACGAAGAGCGAGGCCTATCTACTCGGATAAGGCATGCGTTTGGTACTCTGCTGCCAGACAAACTGACCCCTTAACGTCTGCCTCGGGCTGCTAGGAGGCCGAACCTCCGACAATGCAAACTGTGCGATAATGCAAACGTCGTGTATTCGACGCATGACATTACTTGCCTATCACGGCATGGTGGGTACGTACTACGCAGGCCGACGAGTCGTGGATGCTCATCTTGTCACGCTCATCTACTATGTAGTAATTGCGAGTAGCTTGGCGAGATAGGTACCGTAGGTGCTGGCTATGTCGACAGCAGCTTGTTTGTTTTACCCAGATAAGTCAAGGTATTCCTACCATGTAGTCCTACCTATACCAGAACCGTAGCATGCCTAAGGTATCATACCTTAAAATCATTCCTGGCTAACGGGCCGCCAGCGACCCTCCTTTCACGGACCGAAGCCCCGTGGTACACCGGATTAGACTGTCGACGAACGGCTACCGGTACGCTGTGAGCAGGGACATTTCAAGCGGGCTGCCCAGGCGGTTATAGTTTGATCCTAGGTATCACCGGGGATACTGATTTACATTGATATTGGTCAAACACCATTTCGTGCCCATGTAGTCGAGATTCGGATAAGTTTGAATTTCAGAACCTGACGAGCAACACTGCAGGCCCCTGGCTTGGGATAGGCAACCGAAGCCATACCGGTATCATAGGTAGCTTCAGTCATGATCTGTTCGACCACAAGAAGACCAAGGTCTGCTTTGGGTTTACCGTAACAGGCGGGGGGGCGTCCAGTACGTCGGGAACTCCGCGCCATGCCACCCCCGCTGTCCTCCATGTACCGGTATCACATGTGGCACACTGCGGGGAAGCTTCAGCTTGCAAGTGTACGTAAAGTACTGCGTAAAGTCCTACCGCTATCGCGCGGCGGCAACACTACTGTCTTGTGCAGGCATCTCCATTCCATCCATCAATACAGGTTATCATGAGCTGGTTCAGCAAACCGGTCAGCGAGCCCAAACCGGCTTCTCCGCCGCCGGACGTAAGTGTTCGAGTGGCGGACCAGAGACCACACGACTTCTATCTACAGCCCAGTTCCGGATCGGGCAGCAGTTCTGCAGCGAGCCATGTTGGCACCGCCTTGGTCGACAGAACGCATTCGAAGACCCATGTTCATTCTGTTTCTCTCTTCGACGTTGGTATCTTGAAGGATACACTGGTTCCGTCCGTAGCCCTTCACTCTGGCTTGGCGGCGATCGCTTACGGAGCCGGCCGTTACACGCAGCGTGTCGACGCGAAAGACTGGCTTTGGTCGAGTGGCCAAGTCGCAAATGCATGGTGGTCGGCTGTCGGACGTCGTATTGCTGGGGGCTATACTGTCTCGCAAGCCTTCAGTCGTTTGTCATGGCATGAGCGAGTCATCTTGACTGGCGTCACGCTTTGGGGCGGTCGCTTGTTCTATCGTGTTGCGCGCCGCTCCATTCAGCGCGGCAAGGATGACCCACGATACGACGAGCTCAAGAAGGAAGAGAACTTCTGGAACAATGCGCTGTTCAAGGTTTTTATTCCAGAGGCATTATTCCAGGTGCTCATCAGCCTGCCATTTACCGCGCCTTTTAGACATGAAGGTGCTGTACTGATGGGATATCAACCGTTGATCCAGATGCTTGCTGTGGGCCTATTCTCTTCTGGTCTTGCTTTGGAATCAATTGCAGACTCCCAGCTCGACCAATACAAGGCCGAAGGCGGCAAGGGTATATTGCGTGAGGGTGTCTGGAGCCTCGTCCGCCATCCTAAGTAAGTAGATTTCACACCATCATAATTACAAACACTTACCACACAAAAGTTACCTCGGCGACTCTCTCGTCCACATCTCCTTCATCATCATGCTTTACGGGTCCGACATGCTCGCACCCATTGAACTCCTCGGCCCAATCGCTAACTACTACTTTCTGCGCCTATACGGCGGAGACAACGAGAAGGAGCAGTCCCAAGAGCGTCGATACTCTGCTTCACAACCCGAGAAACTTGCTGAGCTTGAGAAGTTCCGCGCGGATAAGAATGCCTTTTGGCCAAGCGCCAATGAGCTGAAGAACAAATGGCTATGGACAGTGCTGGGCATTGGTGGTTTGGGCGTGGCGGTGGAGCAGACGCTTAGGATGATGCACTAAGTATGAGGAACACTTAGGCAATGAGGGTTTGAGCGTAGTATTTGGACATTCGCTCAGGATGATGAGGCAATGAGGGTTTGGGCGTAGTATTTGGACATTCGCTCAGGATGATGCACTAAGATTGATGAATATTTGGGCAATGGGGGTTATCTGGCGTCTATCCACATCTCACTCTATATAATGTTTGCAGTGGTATTATTTCGATGAAATACAAAATTCCTCCATTTTAGAAACCTAGCCAGAGATGCAGCGAGTTAGTTCCTTAGGCATTTCATTTTTGCATGAATCTTGATGCCACCCCGTCGTCAGTCATCTTCACTGTGAACAAGCTGTCTTGGTATCGTCACAAGTCGTGCAACTTCGCAATTCGTAGAGTAGATAATTAAGCCTCGGCCTGGACAGCTCGGTCTGGACCGCACGTGATGAGCAATGCCAATTTTGACTCCATGAGCTGACTGCATAAGCGCGAACTCCTAGCTTAGCGGATCTTCCCGGATGTCAGATGAGATCGAATCTGCAATCGGCTCAATCAAGTCATCCTGGCTGAGATTGAATCGTAGAGTATTCTAGGATCATAGGGAGTGCTTGATGGACTCCCTCCAAGCCAAGCATGCCGCACACCCGAATAGTTGTAGTGGTGACGCGCAGTCTTTTGTTTTGGATATTCTGTTTCATCAATACCACTTTCCAAGTGGCCTTCATATATCAGGTTGGTAGTGCATTCTGAACTTGCGATTTGCCCTATCCGCCGCCCTCGCCTGGAACTGCTCTCCGTTGAGCTCGAACACCAGCGGCTTCTTCTCCTCTTCTCCCTCCGTCACTGGCAACGTTATCTCGAAGCGAAATATCGTATGCTCTTTTGGAATTGCCTTGAGGACGTTTCTCTTTGTAATGATCTCAAACGTAAACCTCGTATCTCGTACAATGATACCCTCCAGTCCCACCCGGCTCACACAACGACTCCTCACTATAGCAACCTTTGCACCATGCATGTCCGCGCTTGCAAGAATCTGCCCACTCGAATTTGGTGTAACATGCGCATTACGTTTCGCATCGGTGAGACCTAATATATCGCGCATATATCCCGTCCAAAGGTTGTGCAGTGGTTCGTAGATAGCATATTTCTGCTGCTCCTTGGGGATCTCGTTGAGACATAGCTTTCGCTTCTCAGCGGCGGATAATGGGCGAGGCTTGTTCTTGCTGCGCTTCCGTGCGATGGCTTTGCGCTCGTTGAGGCCTTGTCGGCGGATTGCGCGCGCAGAGGGCGTGGGAGAAGTTGCACGAATGGGAAGGGGACGTTTGATGACGCGCTCGTTGTACTGAATTGTTGCCGTGTCTGGGGAGAAGGCGCGTTCGAGGATTGTTTGTGCAAATGGCTGCGCTCTGGAATTAGCCATGGTGGGAGATTTGGGAGAGTGGTTGAGGTGCGAGGAGATGGTGATGGAGTGGGACCACCCCAAAAAAAGTGCGCACGGACGTCACTTCCCCGGATTTCAAAGTCGAGCTAACTAGACACCAGTCATGAAGGTGGTGAGCTGAGAGTAGGTCCCAGGACGTGACGATGGGCACATGATAAGAAACGATGTCCTTGTGTCAAGATTCAATGACTTTTTGCAAACTTCAATCATGTAGCACCTCCGTTGTCCGCGGATCTCCAGGAGAGCTACAGCTTTGTTTTGCCAATTGCCTCGGCCTTTCTCTGTTCATGTATGTATCCGTTTGCCACCGGATTCCAGCCTTGACTGGCTGCCTGGGGTATAGGAAAAGGCGGTTTCCTTAGATTGGACGTGAAAAAGACTGGATGTCGGACTGCGCTGTCATAGGGGGGTGTGAAGAAGGTTGCTGGATTGTGCGGAGGACCGAAGGGTGGCATGGCTTCAATCTGCGATCGTGGTTTGAGTGGGGCTGCAATGACGTGGGCGTGCTGTTGTGGGCTTGTTGGGTGAGAAGCAGTATGGGGCAGGCGTTGCTGCTGGTGTGTATAGGTTGGGAGAGGTGGCTGTTGTGGCGGCTAGTGAACAGTCAGTGACCAGTAAGAAGGGTAACGTTATGGCATGCACATCATGAGCACTTGTACCTTTGGCCTAGATGGCTGGAGCCCTGGAAACATGGTCAAGCACTCTTCACGTAGACACTGTCCCTCGAGACCGTGCGAAAGATACGCGGCACAGCATAGCACAGCCTATAAATGTCATGACAGACCTCGGCTTCAGTTCTCCACTGTTCTGGCTCAACGTCATGAGGCTAACTTGGAGCGGTTAGCTGGTTAGCATCCGCGGAGAGAATCACGTCTCCGACACGGTAGCTGAGCAACATTCCCACCATGGACCACATCGCCATGTCTCGTAAAACAATCGACACATCTTCGGTTGCTTCGAGATGCAAAGAACACCTGCGTTGTTGCTTGCAGCATCAACATGTTCTCGACTTCACACCTCGCCAAAACTCTTCACTGAACCCATTGTCAAAATCGAAAATGGCACCTTCTACGCCCAACATCCAGCATCAAAACCAGCTCCAGGACAAGATGCGAAGCCCAATCGGCCACTGTTTGCTGACCTGAATTGGTCACTACCCTCAAGTTCAACGCCAAATCAGCATTGGGCGATTCTCAGTCCCTCGTCCAGTATTCGTACTGCATTCCTTCAGATTCTCCGCGGCCAGTTTTTATGCTTTCCGCCAATGGCACGGTCATATCCTTACTTACTCTCACCCGAGATTGCTGCCAAGAAATCAAGTTTGCGCTACCCTGAGCGAGCAATCGAGTATGTAGGTTTTGACGTGGAACGCAAAGACTTTGGTGGAGCCTATTTGTCTGCACGCTACGAAAGTCTGAAAGAAGACACCGACTTCACTGTACAACGATATCTGACTGGCATCATCACACTCAATCCTGGTGAGGAAGAGTTGAAGGCCAAGAGCGTGGATGAAGCAGTCATGCGCAAAGTCATGAGAGATTTGGAACTAGAGAGGTTCTTAGAGAAGCCTGTAAGCATGTTGAGTAATGGGCAAAGTCGGAGAGCAAGGATCGGGAAAGCGCTACTCGCAGCGCCGGAGGTCTTGTGCTTGGATGCACCCTTCAGTATGTTTATTGTGCGGTACTCAAAAGCAGTATTCTGACTTTAGGACAGTTGGTCTGGACCCTATTGTGACGAAGAACATTTCAAAGATGTTACATCGTCTTGCAGAAGCAAACGCACCAAGAATTGTACTATCACTGAGACCTCAGGACACTATACCTGAGTGGATCACACACATCGTGTATGCCGGTGAGGATGGAAAGGTGGAGACCTTGGGGCCGAAAGAGGAAGTTTTCCAGCATCTGAAGGCTCGCTATGAAGAATCCGAGAATTCTGATTCTACTGCTGAAGAGCTGAGCCCGAAACTAGTCGAACTTCGTGAGGTGGGCCGTCAGCTTTCTCAGAAGGGCGACTTTCAAACCCATACGGCAAAGCCATCAACCTCAACATTGAGCCGAGATGGTTACGAGAAACGGGACACTTGCCACAAATCCATTGGCGAACCCATTGTCGAAATGGAAGGAGTCTGTATCTCATATGGCAAGAACTCTGTCCTTGGAGATTGGCAACAAGACGTCAAAGGAACCCCACAACAAGGTCTATACTGGAACGTACATCGCGGCCAACGCTGGGGCATCTTCGGTGCAAACGGCTCTGGAAAGACAACTCTACTCAGCCTTGTAACGTCCGACCATCCCCAAACATACTCGGCACCAGTAAAACTTTTCCAACGCTCACGGCTCCCCGAGCCGGGCGCTCGTGGCATAACAATTTTTGAGATTCAGTCACGAATGGGGCATACATCGCCAGAGGTCCATGCACTTTTTCCAAAAAGACTCACGCTTCGCACAGCACTGGAGAGTGCGTATAGTGACACACCTATTACCAAACCACGATTAGACGAACAAGCAACAAAGCGTGTGAAAGCTTGTCTTCGCTGGTTCGAACCAGAACTCAACCCTCTATATGATGGCACACAGTCTGCGAGCGCTGGATTGGAATGGGCGTCCAATACTCTCTTCGGCGAAATCTCCTTCTCCGCTCAACGTGTCCTCTTGTTCCTCCGCGCTACGATAAGTAATCCCGACATCGTCATCCTCGACGAGGCATTCAGTGGAATGGACAATCTGGTTCGCGACAAGTGTTTGCTGTTTCTTAGCCGTGGACAGACCATGGAGATGCATTATACCGACGCCGGGCCTAAACCTGTCAAGACAACTGGAGAAGGCGAGATTGTCGTGCCAGGTCTCCAGGAACACCAGGCACTACTTTGTGTAAGCCATAGTCGCCACGAATTACCGGGTTGTATTAGGGAATGGGTGTGTTTGCCTGAACCGGGTACAGGGCCCCCACGATTCGGCAGATTTGATGGACCGGTAGAGTTGGATAGCAAAAGGTGGGATGAGATTTGGGATTGGAACTGAGATAGAATTTCGGTTTTAATGCATATCAATGTTCTTGCGTTCAATACATAGCATACGGCACACATCAATTCATCGTTCGATCTGCTAATTGTAAAACGTCGTACATTTTGTTCCTAGTCAATACCTAAATCTCTCTCACAAAGTTTCATCACTGATTCTTTCACACAAAGACCTCGAATCTCTCCTGGAGCAACATTAGGCAAGAATGTATCCTCCACTCATTCACCAGGAAAAGCAAAACTGCCGAAAAAGACAGCAAAAATTGACAGATGCATAAATCACACAAATTCCACGCTTGAAACACTCTCAAGATGCGATGTGGCGATAGACTTGGGGGACATGAGTGCTGAGACAGAATTTTCAGGATGTAGTGTATGCGATGCGGTGAGAGACGGCAGTGAGAAAATAATAATATAGGAAGCAAAGCTCGCAAAATCCGGAGCCGGAATATGGGAACGTGAAATACTATGAGGAGGAGAAAAGAATCATCAAAGATAAGGGTAATAATAATAGATGATACAAAAAGTAGTTAATCGAGCATTTACAGCGCCGACTTCACATCCTCTACCTTCTTCTCCCCCAGCCTATCCGCCTTGTCCTGAATCTCTCCAGCCAACCTATCCAGATAGAACCTTGCAATATCAGGCGGCACCTCTCTAAACGCCTTTAGTATCTTTTCCACATCGCGCCTACCATTCTCATAAGCCTGTAGGTCACGGTTTCCGTAGACGTCTTTGCCAGCCGCATAGCCCTTATCGAGACCGCGCCAGAATACATTGACAGCGACGCTGACGCCTTGCTCGGGAGTCGCGGTGTGGCTCCACATGGGTGGTATGAAGAGCACGTCTCCTGGGTTTAAGCGTGCAATGTGTGGATGCGTGAATCTCAGCTTGGGATCACGGGACGTTAGCACGTCGATGTTGGAGCTCGAGCCTCCGGGTGGAAAGTCAAGGTACTTTGCGTCTGATGGTGGGTATAGCTGTAATGTTTTGGAGCCGCGAACCTGGCACAATACGTTTGATAGGACATCATAGTGAAGCCAGAGAGATACAGGACCAGATATGCGAAGGGGCGAGCTGTGGTAACTGGCTTTGACCATGTCAAACACATCAGGTAGCCGAAAGTCGGCTGAGATCGTCGGGAAGTCGTCTTCCAGCTTGGTAGGAAGCTTGTTTGGCTGGCTTGAGGACACAGCGCGCAGGTAAGACTGTGAGCCTTGCGCAATGCCATCTAAGAAATCTGCGACGGTCTTCTTCACGTATTGAAAGTTTTTGTCTTTGAAAGTCATTCGTTCTGATGAGCAGTCATGTATGACAAGTTCCCGATCTGGACCCATCTTCTCTCTCAGGTAGTCCAACGTCCAAAGGTCAATGCACGGACCTATATCGAGGCCTTCGATTATGGCTGGCTTCGAGGAAGCGACGAGGCGCTCAAAGTCCGCACCAGACTTCACTTCAGTTCGGGGAATCTCTGTAGTCCTGACTTTCATCATGCGGTTCTTCGGTTTGCCATGGCCTTTTTCAGGAGCTGTTTCACTTTTCTTCGCTTGTGCTACGCCGCTGAAAGGAGGCGGCAGACAACACCATGCCCTCACCCCTTGCACAAGGCTGGTACCGGTAATTGTCAAAGGATTCTCGTTCCAAAAGCTCCCCATGGAGAAGCAGACTGCACCTCCACCTGTAACGACAACCTCATTTCGCGAGACGGCGACCGCACCCATGCCAACCAGCAAAGGCCAGGTTGATGGCAACTGCATGACAGCGTTTTCCATTGTGATCCCCTTATTTTCAGGTTTCAGTAAGAGAAAATCCTCAGCCAGACTATGGGTGCCGTTTGCGGGAAGCCCTCCAATCATTAGAAGCGAGTCATCCCAAGGCACCAGACTGGCACCTACGCGCGCGTATGCAGAGGTGGAGGCATCGCGGAGAATATGATTGGTGCGGTTTTCAAATTTTAGTCGTGGTGTTGGTGTGGCATCAATGGTCCACTCCCATAAGTCATTCAGAACTGTGCCGTCTGCGCCTATGCCACCGGTCAGCAGCCCCCAACTTCCATGACCCGGCAACACCGAATTCATCGCAGACATTGCGGCACTGAATCTTGCAGTCGGTCGCGGACCGTCAACGGGTATGCTGTGCCAGCCATCTGTAGCCGTCCACAAAATGCAGTCATCGAGTGCTGTGCCATCACTCGATCTGCCGCCAAAGACAAGAACAGCAGAACTCTGTGATTGTGCACCGAGAACAACTGAGACAGCACTATGCCTGTAACGAGCCATCTCGAGATCGTCCACTTTGGTCCAAGTCCCACTGTGAAAGTGCCAACAATCGGCAAGAGCCTGTGCTGGCGACCCACGACCACCAACCAGCAGTGCCTCCGTATCGCACATGGATGTGATGGTATGGCACATGCGTGCAGTAGCCGGTGGCGACTCAAAAGCCTCGACGTTAGAATCCTCCCGCTGTAGGAAATCAGCGTCGGAAAGGCGGGCTCGTGTTCCTTGCCCCCCATGTGTAACGACGGTATCTTTACCCAACGCTAACGCGGCATTGAAACGTCGTGGCGTCGCTGTAGCATTGCTTGATTGCTTCCATGAGTGTAGAGCCATCGTCCCCGCATCGGTCTTCGTCATGCAGCCATTCAAGGTGGCTGTCTGGCCAAGATGTGTCTCAGCCGACCTCCTTTGCTCCGCATTTGATGCAACGAGCAGGAAATAATGAGCGCCAAATAATGCGAACTCTTCCCACTCGTCGAATGGCTCCACGAAATCTAGACTGCGTCGGACAGTAGGTGGGGTGAAATCGTCGTCTGACCATAGGTCCCACAGATTGCGAGCTACCGTCAGAGCTGACCAGCCACGGTTGAGGAAACGGCTCGACTGTTCGGAAAGTGAAGAGTACAGCTTAACCGCCTTTATGGATGTCTGCAGCTTGTCAAAATGTGATAGCATGGTTTTGGCGAAGGGATGATCGGGGCCTTGTGGTAAGTACTGTTCCAGAATACAGAAGCGGGCTGCAGCTGGTTAGCATCATGCCAAAGATTAGTGTGTGGTGAGAATGGACCTGCCATCATCGAGTGTGCTTGCCCATTGTATCAGGGCGTCAGCGTCCTTGACCGGCATGTATGTCACAGAGACTTCGGCTACGAAGAGGTAAGAAGTTTTGGACGCATCGAACTCGGCCTTCAATACCCGTTCAAGAGTGTCGAGGTCCTTGAGATCGCAGCCGACAGCTAGGTACTGATCACTGCTCAAGTACACGGGCTGCTCAGATGAGCGCAATCTGGTCTTCAACAATGCTTCTCGAAGCAGCTTGCTGGTGAGCATACGGTCCCTCTTTTTCTCGATGAGCTGTGGATAGTCCACGTCAACGAAAGTGGCCTTTTGGCTCAAAAGACCATATCTGTTCCAGAATTGAAAAGGCAAAGGATCACTTCATGATGCTTAGCAGATGCTGTTTGGGCGGACCACAGTGCCGCGTATCTTACTCACTATCCACATCCCAGATTGACAACCACTTTCGATCTGCCATTCTCTTCCTGCAGAAAGCGACGGACTACTTGCTCGATTGCGTGCATTCGTAGCCAGTAGCCACGGTTGATGAGTGGATTGCGTCGTACAAAGTTTGGCACAAATGGCTCATAAAAGTCGGGCTCGTTGCTCAAATACAACTTTGACACACTTCTCTTGGATACAATGCTGCTATCGTTGGTCTGAAATCCCATGTCAGTTCCTACTCATCTGCGCAGATTCCGCCCGTGCAGGAGCCGTCATCCCATCAGCGCTCACATTCATAATGTCAACATCTCTCTTCTCTCTTTTGGTCTTCTGATGACCTTTTCGCCTAGGGGCTCCCTTCTTGGGCCGCATCTCTGTTTTGGCCGACATGTCTGTCTTGGTCGACGTTCAACGTGAGGAGTTGTGATGGTGGCCAAGAGTCAAGACTTGAAGGCGGGTTTTTGGACTCACCAGCCACAGCAGCCACAGGCGGGGCTAAGAGCTGATCCCTGCAAACCATCAGGCGGCGGAGACATGGAAGCTGTGACCTCGTAGCCTTCTCCAGGTGACAAGACTCCAGAGCTGCATCGCGTCCTTGGATGGGCTACCAAAGTCGCGCACATACACACATACACACACACACACACACACCACGCAAACTTATGTCGTCGATACCACTGCTGCCCGGGTCTGATTTCGGGAGCACTTGAACACGCCGTTACTCGTTCCGCATCCTGGCCCGCAATCAGCCGCCTGCAGCGTCGTGCCGCCATCACTCGCGATACTGCATGCATCCTCTTACCCTTTAGCTCTTTAAGAACACATGACCAACATGAATTTTGTGACATTTAACCAAGATCACAGCCATCTGGGCGTTGGTATGGATAGTCTCTATAAGGGAGAGGGCAACGCTCACCGTAGTACCAGGCACTACAAATGGCTATCGCATCTATACAACAGACCCCTTCACCAAACAGTCTGAGTCACGCGAGGGCGATGTATCCAGCTTGGAAATGCTGTTCTCGACCTCTCTGGTCGCATTGACACTCTCACCACGGGTGCTGCGGATACAGAACACAAAGGTCCGTCCAAAGCTCTGCGCTGTACCAACGTCTGGAACCTCCGCCTTCTGGGATACCCACTAACAGCGTCAAGAGACACTCCACAATCTGTGAAATGACCTTTCGTACGGCCATATTGGCGATGCGCTTGAATCGGAAGCGCCTCGTAGTAGTACTGGAGTCCGAGTTGTACATATACGACATCAGCAACATGCAGATGCTGAAGACGGAGAAGACGTCTCCCAACCCAAATGGTAGACCTTGCACAGAATATCGACCACGAACAAGTGTTCTGACATGGATTAGCTATCTGCGCTCTTTCGGCATCCTCTGAGAACAACTACATCGTATACCCGCTCCCCACAAAGGCTGCGCCAGCCACGTTTCAACCGCCGTCACACGCACCGCCCAAGTCGGACCATGTTGCGCCAACCAGTGGCGAGGTCTTGATATACGACGCTACGAAGATGGAAGCGGTAAATGTCATCGAGGCACATAACTCACCGCTTTCTTGCATCGCACTGAACAATGACGGCACCTTGCTGGCTACGGCATCTGAGAAAGGCACCATCATTCGTGTCTTCTCGATACCAGATGCTCAGAAACTGTATCAATTCCGACGAGGTTCGATACCTGCTCGGATATTCAGCATGTCGTTCAACTCGACCTCGACCTTGCTCTGCGTCTCGTCAGCGACTGAGACAGTGCACATCTTCCGCCTTGGTGACTCGAATAAGGGTCGGAGCAACAGTGTGTCCTCGGGCCCAAACACGCCAATGTCTCCCTCTCGCGAACGTAGTAGCAGCCGTGTCAGCGAAGAAACCACGGACGAGTATGGTGCAAGCACAGTCGAGATCGCTGTACCAGAACGAAAACCGATAAGTCCTACTTTTGCCAGCATGATACGGCGAACTTCGCAAAACGTGGGCAAGACCTTCGCGGCTACTGTTGGCGGATACTTGCCAAGTGCAGTATCGGAGATTTGGGAGCCGTCACGCGACTTTGCATGGGTGAAGATCCCACGGTCGACTACCAGCACCTCGTCCGGGTCTATGAGATCGGTGGTCGCGCTCAGTAATAACGCGCCTCAAATCATGGTCGTCACAAGTGAAGGGAACTTTTATGTTTTTGATGTAGATCTTGAGAAAGGGGGCGAGGGTGTACTGCATAAGCAATACTCGTAAGTCGCTTACTGTGTACCCATGCGGGCCGGGCGAGGAGGGGCTAATATTGGCAGGCTCCTTGAACCAAACGAGTTGTCCTCGAGCCATTCACAGGACCTTCCTGAATAGCCAGCCAGAGTGAGTATATGGGCGGTTGTGCAATTGTTTCTGCGCATGGTCGCACGTTGAGCTTTTTGCATTACCAAGGCGTTCATTCCTGCAGGCAGCACATGACTGATTCCCCAGACGAGGGCAACGCTCCTCTTTATTGTACCTACATAGTATTAAGTGATAATTGCCCCTATTTAATTTACCGCTGCGGCATCCAGCAAGAGATGACCACTTCCGGGTTCTGCTGCAGAATGGTGACGTCAGGTAGATAGGATGGGCTTGGTGAGGTGACAGGAATCCTATCGCTTTTGTTACTTTTGTTGCTTTTGCTGCTTTTGCTGCTTTTGCAGTGCGCATAAGCCCAGATATCGTGAGGCGTGAGGCTAAGATCGATCGATGCGGCAGAAACCCTGCGCCACCGGGCATGACAGGCCCCACACCCCGCCTCTGACCTCATTGGTGTACCCAAATGCTCATCGTACCTATGCTTGAGCCGTCGCTGCCTGGACCGAATGAACTCCTCTCCTCCAGCACACTCATTCTGCTGCCTTGCTGTCTGATACACGTCAAAGAAGCGCAATCCTGGTTTCAGCATCCATCAGTAGATACCATTCACCCACTATACACCCTTTTCCCGCCCACAATCACATAACAACCTGCACCAACAAACACCGATTGAACAGCACGATGGTGAGCGATCGTACCACGGGAAACCCACTCAGTGCGGGTTCGCTCTCGCTGTTCATGGCAACATGCCTTCCCAGTGGCGAGGGACCGCAGCTGAAGAATCCAACCGAAGCCATTGCGCTTGCTGTCAATGCAGGCATGATTGCAGTCGGTTTCAGGCTCATCGGCTTGGGCGAAGACGACAAGATAGGTACGTTCATCCATGCCAAGACTGGCACAATGCCCCTACTATGTTATCAAGTCTAAATACACGGCTACTCACAGAAGCCTATGCAGACGCTGAAGATCCACGGTCACTTCCCCCAGCATGGAATGCATCCTCATCCTACGCCTTCCGCTATGCGCACGCGCAGTCTGCTATGCAATTCCTGGTCAAGGTCAACAGGCTGGGCGGCAAGGCAGTCATCTACGCCCTCGCCCTTGGTGACGACAAGACCACGCATTTCGAGGTCACGACCAAAGACTATCTCTCAGAGTCACAACTACCGCTCAGCATACCAGAAGGCACATCGACAGAGGACAAGGCGAAGAAGATGCAGGATCTATTTATATCAGAGGGAAGATTAAACGACCTGGGCGCGCTGCTTAAGATATCAGTCATACAAAAACTCGCCCCTAGTCTTCACAAATCAGGGTATGAGGAAAGTAACTCGGAGCGAGAGCGTACACCCACAGCAGATCGCCCAGGGCCACAGAGAGGAGATGCTCCCAACCCACGACAACCGCCCAATGATCCTGAACCAGCGCGACCCTACCCATTCAACGACCCACTAGCCGCACGCCCGCAGCCCGGCAGACCGCTCCCAGAGCCCATACCCGGTTTCGAAGATGAGTACGACCTCAACCGACCAAGAGGTGACCTTCGCGACAGCCGAAGTCCACTCAACATTGGTCACGATGATCTATACCCACCAGGACTCGGCCCCCACGACCCCCTGCGTCCACATCTTGCTGGCGGTCTACCACGACCAGGTGGAGGGTTTGGCGGTGGCATGCACCCAACATTTGACGATCCATTGTTCCGTGGACAGGGCGGTCAAGGAGGCTATGACCCCATGGCTCCTCCAGGTGCACGCTACGACCCTATTGGCCCTGGGGATCCGCTGAGAGACAACCGAGGTGGTCCACGATTCCCAGGCGGAGGCGGCTTCGGCGGGCCAGGTGGACGGCCGCCTAATCCATTCGGCGGGTTTGGTAATGGGGATTTCATCTGAGGAGATTGGAATGAGTGGATGTGAGTGGAGTATGCTGCTTGGAGATTTGAGAGATAGAGACTTTCTTCTTGCTTGTATATGTAACTAGTTGATATCACAAATAACATCCTAATGTACACGTACCGTACCTTTTGCACCACACCGCACCACAACCTCAATGCAGACTGGCTGTACTTTGTGCTTTACGCCATCACCCCGAAAACATCACATCCGCTTTCCCCTAACGAACCCGGCATCCCATCCCTTTGCAGACCGCACCGTCTTCGCGTCCTCCAACAGCTTACTTACCAGATTAAGCGCGGTGCATGAAGCCAAATCCGGCACCGGACAGAACCAACTGTCGGTCCGTCTTGCCACACGATCCATCACGCTTGTGCCTATCCTACCTAAATGCCGTAAAATTTAGCAGCGCGGGTAAAACCATTTTGCGTTTCGGGGAGGACCCTGTGGCGTACTGGTGTACATACCCAGCGTACCTGTCATTCGCGCCGTGGGCCTATGGCGGGGGAATAGATTGACTGTCTGGGGAGATTCGCGCTTAAAGTTAGACTGGACAAGCGCGCGTTGAGAGCATGGTGTGTATGTGTGTACGTAGGCTACGGTACACAGGTGTGAGTGGTTAGCCAGACTAGACTGTAAAATGTACTCTGTGCAGCCTGAATGTTTCGCCCTGTCTGTGTATGACTGCAGCAGGGCGGTGGGTGGTGTATTTGCTTTTCGACGTCGCTGTAGAGTCGGTTGCTGGATGGGGAAACTGCTGGTTTGAAGGGTGATTTATACGAATGCAATGGGAATTTGGAATGTAGGTAGGTACGGTAGATACGGTACCAGTACGTAGCCATGCCTAGCCCCTCAGAGACGGCGTGTTGGAAGCGCAGGTGTGGTACAATGGATGAGTACTTGCGTCAAGAGACACTCTGACTAGCCCAGGCTGGGGTGTAATGACAGGGCCGCTGTGCAATATGGAGTGTTACCATCGTCTCTTGCATGTGTAGTATGGGTACTACTATGTGTAGTGTGGTGTAGCATGGTCGGTCAGCCATGTGCATGCATGTCCTGCACTTCGCAGACCGGTTTCCGTGACACTGGCCGCCCAAGCTATATCAGCGCAGATCATATCGCAGACATTGTCTGATTAGGAAAAGTGCACAAGATCTCCAACCCCATTTGCATTGGCTGGGGAGAGTGGAGGCTTGTCGGCACAATTCTCAGTCTCGGTTTTGAAAGAGAGTGCGAGGGGGCTTTTCAATGGGCCATTGACGGTTGACCACGTCGGCTGTGACATGTGTCTTCTTCTTTGCCCTCGGGCTCTGTTTTTTTCTTGTCTTCACTCAGGCAGGTCAATGCGACATTACCCCGCTCGGCGACCTGACGGCTATGAGCGTGCTTTAGTTCCTTCTTGGTGTTCTTGGTTGTCCTTTTCCCAGGTTGGCTCACGAGGGGGGACGCAGGGCATTCGCTTACCGGTACCGGCCGATATGGGCTATGGATTTTCGCATGTGCGGCGGGCGCTTAATCTAAAACCGCAAGTGGAGGTTATGTAGGTATGTACTCTACCATGTACTACATATGTAGACGACGTATTACCAGGGTCTGCATATGGCGACTTGACCACCTTCTGACTTGCTCAACTCTGGCAGGTGAATCTGCGGAGTGAAGCCTGATGATGTGAGCTGAATAACGAATACTACCTTGAGAGCAGTAGTGGCCTTTCAAGAGAACCTATAGCCACGGGGATTAGTCGTTGCAATCTCCCTACTGATTTCCGGAGGATTTCTCGCAATGCAATAGTGTGGTCGAGCCATTCTGGCCATGCTCAGAATCACTCTCGACGGGTGCGTACCGGTGCTACGTACGCTGCAGGTAAGGATTCAGTATACATGCGCCTGCGTATTAATGTAACAAATGCAGTGGAGACAAGATACTGCCATGGAAAGGCAGCATCAAAGTACTCATTGGATGATGGCTGCATGTGCGCCAGTCTATTTCAATTTTGTCGTCATGTACCGTACACAGCAAAGCCCCCAAACCAACTCGTCTTCCAATCAGAACGCAGCGGCGATTCAGACCGTACGAGACACTTGTGTTTTCTGACACATGTACGAAGTGCCTCCAAAATAACGACAAGAGTATTAGCATGACATTGCAACTGCCTGACAATCACTTGCCAAGCTCTGATACCAGGAGACTGTAGTCTGAAGACTGATGTGTACAATCAGTATATATGAAAAAAAAAGAACTAACGAGCTCCTTCATACCTCAATAGAGCTGACACTCCGCTGGCGGAAAATTTATCGTTGCTTGCGGGCTGGACCTCTCGTTCCCACACTGCAACACGGACACTTACTTGCCTTTGTGCAGGATCGCTCTAGGATCGCCAGTCATTCAAGATGTGGAGCCATTATTCACATCAATGATCAGATCAGGCGTTGCCAGAGAGGCCTCACTACTCTAGGGCAAGGTAAGGGAGGAGGCTGATGGAACCAGTAAAAAGACCGATACGAAATCGGCACAACCTTGCGGCACGGAAAAGGGGGCCGGGGAGGACTGATAGGCTAGTTGAACGTCACTTGGACATTGTGCTGTGTAGATTTTACTACAATGTTGATGGTTGACTTGCATTTGAAGTACCTTGATGCGGGGTACGGTACAGCTCACGATAAGAGGTGGCGATGTTTGGTGGCACTGGAGAGTCACGTCAGTTGAGCAAGCATGCAATGTAGCACTGTGCAATCTCTCAGTGGACACCGGAGTGGCCGCGTCGCAGTAGAAATACGAGTCTAGATCTTTTCGTTTCTTAGCCTCCGTATTTTGTGAAATCATCCTTGCTGTCCAAGACGACACTGCGAGAAGCGGCCTCAATGAAAGAAGCAAGCTTCAAAAATCTTTGGGACAGGACGATGCTGATCAAAACACGGATTGCAGTTGTTCCTCGGGCTTGTCGTGTGCTCTCCAGGCACCTGATGCGTGATGACAGGTTCATCTCACTCGAGGATCTGAAACCTGCTCTGTAGCAGCCTGACGGGCGGCTACCGCCTCGTCGATGCGAGATCCTACCCGTTCATCTGGTCGTGGTGTCCAAAGGCAGCGAAGCGACATGAAGCAATATTCTCTTGTCCATTCAAGCTTGACATGATCGCTCCTCGCTAGCGCAGTTTCCATCTTGAAGGAAGGGCAGGGTAGAGCGAGTGAACCACCTTCTTGGAATGGGGAAGAATATATCTGGTGATGTCGTTTGCTTGCAATCCCTCTGTCCGGGCACTTGTCTAGATTCGACTCAAGCTCCGTCCTGGGCCAGACATGATTGGTCGGGGAAAGAGAGTCGACCTCCGAAAATGTGCCGTGGATATTTTGGGGATATTAAACCGCCAAACGAGCATCAATGCCGTCCTTGTCTCGAAGGAATGTCGGCGAGTCGCACATTGGGGACCAGTAGTAAGCCTTGCCGTGTGGACCAAGGGAAGGCATCGAGACTTTGTTAAATTTCCCAGGCACCGAATGAAACCCTGGCCAAGCGTTGTGAACTGCTCAACGATCGGGCAGAGTTAACCGGACGATCCTAGTTCCGTTGTGGGTGACTTGTGCTTGCCGAGGGGGCGATTGGATTGCACGCATCGGACGTAGCTCCTCATTTTGGACCACGTCGCTCTCTTTGGGAACTGGTGGCCGGTCCATCGCGTATGTGTGTAGTAGGTTACGAGCTCTGCAGGGTGTCCAGACGGGAGGCGCTCTTGGTGGATATCGTTCAGTGGCAGTTCGCCCTCGAGCACACGCTAGGAGCGGCTCAACAGCCTCGTTTTTGCTGACAGTACATACCGGTATCTACGCCTCATCTACCGGTGCGCCACGATCTGGTCGGTCATGACAGACGCCGCAACGTGGTTTGGCGTAAGGCTTATCCAGAGCATGTGCATAATCACTTGGTTAAGGCTGACAGTATGGGGCAATATGGGGCAGTCAAGTGCGCCATGACTAACGAAGGAACGCGAGGGAGGGTGACGGCGCTTATGGCGGTGCTGCCGAGACGTGACGTTGCGTTTACCATAGTAGCTGCATGGCGCTTATCGCGGGTAACTTTGGCGTTGTCATGCATGTCATGCAGGGATATAGCGGTTGGCGCGTGGAGGCGGAAGCTGCGCGTCTGATTAGCGAACCTAGGCGATTTGCAGGCTTGCTTTGAAGCGATAGACGCGCCTGGTCGATCTCAATCGTCTAACAGGGCGTGTAAACACGTCAAACATCAAACCCTGATCGTATACGGTGTGATTGCCCTTGGTTCTCGCAGCCACTGCATGCAACCTGTATCCAGCACCATGCGCCTGGTTTTCCAGAAACCTGATGGCGGATTCGACAGATGATCATGCAAGCACCATGCTTTGCTGCACAAGAACTATAGCTCATGGCGAGAGATCACGAGAGAGGAATGCTGATTTCATGGAAGACTCAAGACATGTCATAGCCGATGATGTTGCGCTTCGGGAAATTGAAAGACAGCCGCGTTGCCGCGGCATGCCGAACGCAACCTGACCATCCCGCCATCCGAGGAAGCGATCTACGGGAGCAGCCTGTCACGGAACAGCTGGCCCCCCGGCACGAGAAATTGCCTATTGCTCAGCAGAACGACTTGCTCACCATGACTTGTTGAGTAAGGGCAGGCGCGATTCGGGTCAAAGTTAGCCCTTCTTATGGCCTCGTCCCCACTGCCCAAGACTTGCAATCGCCATCTGATTTTTACCGCTTTGTTCTCTCGGATAAGGAAAACCTGCCCTTGTTAGCATCATTCGATTTCTTCCGCTCAGTATTACGGAATGGATCTAGTCCTAAAACACATTTGGTCTCATCATTTTCAATGAAGCGAAAAGACCTCACTTCAAGGTCTAGAGAGGACTAAGAATGGATGAGCAGATTTTTCTGGACATGCGCCTCCTTGTGTGTATAACTTTAGATAAACAGCCATATACAGCCTCTCGCTTCGTTTCATGTACTAGTCCCAACTGCTGCGCCTTCAATCCTGAAGCAGAACAGCTTTGCACGGTGTGAAGTGCCGATTGTTGGACTGCATTTGGTTCCGGCGAGCTGACGGTCAATATAGAGTGCTTACAAGTTGCATGTCAATCATTGCCCGTGGGCTTAGATGTTGAGTTCCACTGCTACGTAGAGGTAATACGGTGCAGCTTTGAACCGGAGGCTGATAGTACCCAGTCCAGTCATGCGCATTGCCGTTGCTGGAGGAGGTGGCAAAGAACCACGGGCGGCATAAATGAGAACAGGCGCGATCTTACTCGGTTTGGATTGCCTGCTGCCCAAAGCGAAACCAGGGAAACGGCCGATCGGACGACGATCTCACCGTCCGTCCATTTTATATTGTCATCATTGCAGATATGCACAGCGCATATGCTGCAGAGCAAAGTCAAGGGACTAGATCATAAATCACTGGCGATATCCTTGCGATCAACTTTATGGTCATGGCCTGCTGCAGCATGTCTCAGTCCAGCAGGCTTGGCTAGTGCTCTCGCGGCTACACAAGTGGCATGCTCCAACGATGTCGTAGGGGGTAGTTTCTCCCTTTTTTTTTTTTAAAAGGAGTGAAGGCCGGTCGGTGTACGGTCACTCACATTGGATCAAGGTCACCTGAGTGACGGCCACGAATGCTGGGGCGACTGCTTTCCGCCTTTGCGCCGGTCTTGGAATCAAATGCCGTGCATCCAAGAATGACGCCCCTCTAGAGTGAAATTGATTGACTGGCCGATGAACCGTGGAGGGCCGAGGGCGTGCTAGCGTGCAGTGATGATGTGTGTCAATTGACCCAGATTCCTGGGTTAGGCAGCAAACGACCCATCATTCTGCTGGGGCTCGTGCGATGCTGGGGCAAAGGTAAAAGGTAGAGGTCTGTCGCTGCTCGCTGCTGAAGAGACGCGTCCAAAATGAGCGAGACGGGCCAAGGAGGTCGTTGGGGTTGAGTGGGGAAGGACCAGGCAGATAGAAGCCGTGACGTAGCGGGACTAGATCGCTGCGACTCTGCGAGAATCGAGCCGACGTGGCTCAAGCACGACAAGACAAGGCCAGCTATCCAAACATTAAGCGCCCATGGGCACGCTATTACTGGGAGGAGGCTGAGGGGTGGTGATGTGGTGCTAAGGAACAGGCAGACCGACCAGAGGAGCATCCTGTGGGTCTGTCAACTGTCAACTGTCAAGCATCATGCTGCCAGTGTCATGCAAGACACGACCGATGGATGGTTCTCAAGCATACAAGCATCAACAGCCGCCGCCCGCCTCACACTGACGGGTTGCAAGGCAGATAGGTAGATACTCTAGGGTGGTATGTATACCTAGCATGCGACAGTTGCACAAGCATCCATGAAACAAAAGGGCAGGTAATATAGCCAGCAAAGGAGCGTCCTGCGCCTGATTAGAAGAACCTGGGAAAGTGGTCTGTTCTAAGTTCTTGGCGGGGGGGCGCTGTGCCGCGGCCGGCGTCACCCCCACCAGTGAAGGCACAAGCAGCGTGTGTGAAAGCAACAGGGGACTTCTGCATGGTTAAGCGCCGGCCCAGTACAAACATGCTCCAGACTACTCTACACACCACATACATGCCATAGTACATGCTGCCCCATGTACAAATTCGCGCAGAGGCCCTATCCCTGTCACGTCTTGACCTGTGGTTCGCGTGCAGGCCGCCTGTTTGCTTTGCAGGGTTGGTCCTACAATAGGAATACATACACATGTACATACATGCTAAGTACTCTACTCTACTCTACTCTAGACATCCCCGTCCAGATCCCCGTCTGATGCGGGCGCGGTTGTGCAGCAAAGACGTTGTGGGCAGTGCCGGCACAATGCCAGGCAGGGTTCGACCTTGTTTCGCTAGCAACCTAGGTGGCGTCTGCTGGTTCCAAGCCACCTCCAGCAGTTGAACAACCATCGACAGGAAAGATCAAAAGTCACATCATGTTTACCGCTTTCTTGGCCTGAGGGAGGGGGACTTGTTTTCTCAAGTAAATCACTCTCCTAGATTCCGTGGCACAAGCAGATATGTCGCCAAACTGCAGATGCCCTGTGTCGCTGTGAAGGCCCATCTATAGCAAAATGACCTTCCCAAAGCGCTGTCAAACGCCGAGTATGCAATTAGCCCAATAGAGAGCAATGTCCTACAATGTTCCCGCAATGTCTGAAAAAGATGAATGTGCAACGTCACAAAATTTCAACTGTTACCACCCCGTAATCTCCCATAGCTTCCATCGACTTTGCCTAGCCCGTGAGTCGGCCTCGTCATAAATGCAATTGGGATAGCAGCTGCGGATCGGCCACAGATATCTGGTGGCGCCGAGGACAGCCATCCGTCTCATGTCTAAGCTGCAAGTCAATAATGGCCTAGCTTGACTGTCTTTTGGCCTACTTACCTTCGTAGTGTGTCTTTGCGTGCAAAGGCTGAAGGGCACAGACTGCATCTGAATTGCCTTGCTTGTTGATGACGGCTCTGGTCATGGCGCGTCAAATCCGTCTTGCGAACAAATTTCCTATCACAACCAGGATGGGTGCAAACGTGCTCCTTCTTGCGATCGGTGTCATGCGTCAATATGTGCTGGTTGTAGTTGTATCTGCGTGCAAACCCTTTCCCGGGACAGAGTCGGCAGTGATAAAGGGCATGCGCGGGATCTGTATGTCTCCGGTTGCGTGTCCTTTGGCGGTTTTCAGTTCTTGAAACATATCCGGGAGATGATGTCGAGTGACGACTACCAAGACTGCCTTCAGGAGATGTCTGCTTGAAACCACGATGGTTGAAGTCGTAAGATGGTGTCGGTTCGTATCTGGACATGCCTGGCGAAGGATATGCATTTTCATACGGGTACATGTTTGGGACAACAGTCTGTGGCGACGATCTCGAAGATGGGAGCATATTCATTCCCGAAGAAGCCTGTGTGGCAAAATGCACGTTGGAGTCCCATACAGAACCCTCCACTTTGACGGGATATGCTGACTCTGACTCTTCGTGTGAAAAAGCTGACATCTCGCGAGTATATGACAACGATGATCGGGGAGATGTCTGAACGGAGGCCCAGGGCAATGGTGATCGAACGACAGGGTGATCGAATGCTCCTGACGCCCAGGGGTCTGCGAGTGCTTCGGTCACCAGAGGAGAGGTTACAGTCGAATAGTGACTGTTCCACACTTCAGATGACTGTGGTGATGGCAACCCAGTCGACAGCGGTTGCTGATATTCATAAAGTCCAAGGCCATGCTGACCTTTTGACTGGCCATCACTCCGTCCCGGTGAAGGATATGATGACTCGAGAAGAGTGATTGGTCTCGATGCATGTTGTTGATAGGGCGAATTGAAGGGAGGAGTCGATTGGTCCGTGTACATCGTGAAAGAGAACGAAGCGTATTCGAAACAATGTATGAAAGCCTGGGATAGTCTTGTTACCAAGTATGAAGGTAAAGAAGGGATGTCCAACTGAAAAGGATAGAGGATAACGGAAGAAGCTGCAGGGCGTTCCAAGCTGGACTATATCTGTGCGATGCAGTGCTGGCAGCAGCCTTGTGGAGTTTAAGATGATTTCTCACGTCGTATTGCCGCGTCTGTGGCTTCTCGAAGCGTACGTTCTAGCAGTGGGCTTTTGAGCATGAGGCAGACTCAGGCAGTGTGCTAGGCAGGGACAGCATGAACATGGTGAGCTCGAGCCGCGTAGGCGGCAGGCGCTTGTTAGCTGCATGGGGCTTGGGGGGGGGAGGGGGGGGATGGACCGTGTGTTGCGGAGGGATCAAGGGCACGCATGCAGGCTACCCTAGCACAACTATGCTGGCATTCACAGGGGGGTTCCATCCGGTCGGGTAGGGCCTGAGCGGGCCGAGCGCACAAATCAGAACGGGCCCTGTCTTCCGCAGTCCTGAGGCGCAAGTGAAGGGGGTGACAGCGATTGAATCCCGGTTGAGCGAGAAGTAGCCTGAGTGAACTATCTATGCCAGGTCCAGGCACAGACGTCTTTTCCCGCAAGCTGCTGTCAATCTTTTGATTCATTTGCTGGCCCTGCCTGACAACATGGAATTTGTGAGACACCAACATTTCATGGACGCACACCCGCATCTTCACATAGCTTATGCGATGAATATAAAAGCTCTCCCGGACTTTTACCCGGACTTGTTCCATCTCAACAGTCGCTATATTTTCCGCGGCTGAAGCGCCGACCATTAAGCGGCCGCTGGGCTCGCTTCGCGCTGCTCTGAAAGCTGCGACACCATTGTAGTGAGTTCCTCGACCTGCGCGGAAAGCTTGAGAACCAAGTTCCTTAATTGGGCATCGGGTTCTGGCACCCCTGTTCGGGTATGGGACCGGCTAGTGTGATGCATTCGCGCCACTTGCCCATCTGCCATTAACAGGCGTGGCGAGTTGACGGGCAACCGGGGAAGTTTCTTAGACGAGGGTATCTGAGGCCCACTCAGAGACATCGCACTCGAGTTAGGCTTGTGTGTATTTGCGAGCTGCTCGTAGACCCAGATTGCGCCAACGAAGGGCACGTGAGTCGCCTTGAGCAGTACGATGCGGACCTCTCTTAGCCTTTCCGATGGTAAGAACAACCGAAGAGGTCGAATGATGAGTGGAATGAGGTTCTGTGAGCTGATCAGCCTCGCAATAGTCTTAAGGGTCCACCTTGCGCTTCTTGTCCATGTAGCTTTCGGCGTTCCCGGCTTAGCTACTGTCGAGAAAGCCTGAGCGGCAGCGCAAGGCTGGATGGAGTACTGCGAAAATGCACTCGCCCATACTGAATATGCTTTTGAAACCGTAACAGTTCAGTTAAAACGGTTGGCCAACAATTCAGCAGTCGTTGTGGCTAGTGAGGCTGTGCTAACCGGCCCAGCAGGCGGCCGGCGCTTGAATGTCTCCATATGCTCGAAATAGGTGCAAAAAGAAGTACTTACCAGAGGAGGTAGAAAATAGGTAAGTCTGTTTGAGCTTGAAGCTTCAAGAACGTAGACTGAATAGCTATGTCGTGGCTGTGGTCAGCTATCAGGCATGGCCGACTAGAACCGTTACACATACATGAAGAGATATTCGTCTCTCGCATGGTCCAGAACCTAGATAATGCTTAGCAAGGATTTTCTGCAGCCCAATCACGCCCAGGTGGAAGAGGCGCGGGCAAACATGATGTAGTTAGCAAGGCGAACCGGCGCGGACCGCAGCAATGTAGCCAGCATGATCTGAATTTGCCACTTGTGGCTCATATGTATCATGTAATGAGAGCGGACTCTTGGATTTCGACACAGAGTATGTGTAGACGCACGTACTGCAGCTTTGTCAGTCAGGGCACTGCACAGCAAGGATGAAAGCATTCTCACCCTTGCTTAATGAGTTACTCAAGAGAGAAATCAGACTCGTTATTAGGAGAATATTTGTTAAAGTGACGAAGATCAGCTGTTCAACTGTCAGCGGAGTTCCAGTGCATGTACCAAGCCGCAACTTGCCATGACTGGTGGCCCAAAAAACGGAGAACTATACAATGTGAGTCTCCGTGGAACAATGTCTCATATGGCGGAGCATACATTTCTTCCGCGATATCTGCATCATTTCCGTGTCAGTTGCTGATGGTGCGAATCAATTGCTGAGGGTACATATTTACTCACCAAAACCCAAGTAGCTGGACCTGGTAACTGTGAGCCGATGTGACTGAAAATTGAAGGCGGGCAGCTTACCCGAAAAATACTTTGATCAAAATCCAACTCTAAATAGCTGTCTTTAGCGTATAGATCTCGCAGCTCGACTGTAGCCACTCACCATCTCCTTCGCGCTGAATGTACCACGCGCCAGCAGCACGAACGTCGTGAGAAAACCTTACTGACGTTAGTCTACAAGCTAAAACTCGTACAGGATATTTTCTTACCTAGATAAAGGATAACGACGAGTGACAAGAACTTGACGAAGTCTTTGGTCATCTCTTTGAGACATGGTATGAGGGTACCAAAGTAGCGATTGAGACTCAAAAGAGCAAATATACGTGGGATTAGAAATAGAGCTTCCAGTCCCAACACATCGTATGCCAGGTCCATAGTGTCAGTTGATGCGGTTGTCAACCCAACAATCCCTAAGCAAAGTCAGTAGTGAGTAATTTTCATTTGGTGCGAAGCTTACTGAGAACACAAAAGATCATGCCGACTACAACAATACTGATATCCCAGGTCCACCTAGTTTTCCTTAGCTTCGTAACCATAATCTTGAACATCGTCGTATTTACCAAAAGTCTGAAGCATAGAAGCTTGTTTGGCCGGCGTCTGTCCAGTCTGCAAACTCGTCGTAGGCAAAACTAGCAATCCAGACATACAGCATAATCTCTGCAACGGTAACACGTTCTTCGTTGCGAGCCACGAGTACTGCATAATACAATGCGAGAAATACTCCGAAGAATAATGTCTCGAATACCTTGAGGTACAGTGGTACCCGAAGCCGAGAGACTAAGCGTAGTGATCGCGTCAGCTGCAATATCATACCGAAAGACTTCGAGCAAGTGATGAATCGTAGTGTAAGCCGGTTCTATTGAGATCACTCGACAGAAGATGCAGTTCAAAGTAGAGTCGATTTGGTTGTGCTAAAAAGGGAAACTTACATGGATCGGCTTGTCTCCGATTGTATTTCCTGGGTCTCTTGATCGAATTGACGCTCAATGTCTCCCAGAACACGATATCACCCTTGAATAGCCCATTGATAAGCTTTTGAACAGGTCGCTGACCGAGAAACTTCTTCGCGCCCGAAACTGAAGCGATCTCAAGAGCACTGAGATTCTCACACTGAGATGTCAGCGAGCTGAACCGTGATATAGCAGGAGAGTTGTGACCGAAATAGTCACTGTTAGAGGTGGGCAGAAGAGGAGTGCGCTCGTTCGACTGAGACGCGCCATTGCCATTGCCGTCTCCCTGCACACTTTGCCTGTCCTCTGTAACCTGACTTCTCGAGCTTGCCAAAGGTGGCAGTTCGACTAATAAATATTCCATGGCATCGCTATCCTTCAGATTGCTCACGAATTGCCAGGCCACGAATTCGCAAGCATATCCTCTAGCTTGATTGACACCCGGAACATCACTGTTCTCTTCGAGAGCCGAGAAGTGCCCTTTCAGAGCCCTACTCATGTCAGCCCATTATAGTCGCCGTGACCTATTCTGCGACTATCAATCGGCTTCAAGTATGAATACGTACAAGAGGGCTGATGCAGTGCAAGGGTGTTCGACCTGTGTAGAGAGATATTCGATGAGTGGCTGTAGTGCCCGACCTTCCTGGCTCCTACGTAAGTCCTCGAAGGTGTGCGGAAGCCGAATTGCGTGCTCGAAAAACCTATTACTTAGTTAGGCTCTTGCACAACCATCAAGCCGAGGCGTACCCACTGGCTGAATTTGTCCACCAATTCACTGAATTTTTCATCGCCGTCTATCTCAGGTACCTGAATCTCATCTGCAAGCAGTCTTGGCGTAGATGGAAGCGACATATCCGAGGGTTCTTGTTGATGCATTCTGCGATTCAATTGATACGCGACGCGTGGGGCTTGACAGGAAGCGCGCTTAGAGGTGGAAGAGGACCTCGAGACGTCATAGCTTCCTTGGCATCACCACATCCATCGTTCCCTCACGAAACTGAAACACTACATGAACTGCAGAAGTTGCGATATCAAACAATGTCTTTGGTCGTACAGACTACTTCATGAAGCACTCGTTATGGCATATAAGGCTGATTTTGTAAATGATCATCTACGACTGATTGCCTTCCTTCGCGTCGTCGGTCATGGAATGCCGCATCGCCCTTCCAGGTTCAATCGGCGAGATCAGGGTACCGGCGAGCAGACTCAAGATGTTCATGATCAGGTTGATATCGAACGCGACAATAGTTTGCGCAAGCGCCATGTCTCTGCATCTACGACTTCAACCAAACCCAATTCTCCAATCATAATGACCACTGATGCCCAGGAAGGAGCATGTCAGATAGACGCCCCAGCATATATGGACACGGTCTACGACCTCCCTTTTTCTCCAAAATTAGCGCAGTCGTACAATGACCTCGACCCTGATGCATATATCACTTCTGGTGCTAGCAATCGTCCACAGGACCGTTTGCCTCTATCGCAAAGCTTGAAGCGATATTCCATCACAAAATGCTCCTTGGGTACTAAAAGACCTAGTTTAATGCTCTCTAGGCCTGCAAAAACCAAGAAAAGATGTCTTCCGGTTCATCAACTTGCTCTAGTGCGCACGCCGACTTACGATGGCCTTGCTCCGCCGGTAGTAAGAGAGCTTGTGAGACATGGCTGAATCATGCTTCAGGCTGACCGTTACTCGATCAGACCCCAAAGAATTCGAATGTTCCCATTAGCAAAGTAAATTGCGCCACCAAAAAGGTTCATGTATCCATTGCTGCTACGCAGATTGAGCTCGCCAAGGTACGTCTGTTCGTACTACGAGTTTTTTTCTTGCAATCAACAATCACTGATCGCCTTTCAGCGGTCTCAAAGAAAGTACGCCTCAAGGACTGTTACGTCACCTTTTCGAAATCCAGACGTGTGCTCAAGCAACTTGAAGCCCACCCGCTCAGCTGCACAAGCTCAGATTGTGAAAAGCAGGCCACTAGCACTTCAGTCGACTGCGCATCAGGATTTCAAAGCTGCTTCGGATGGGTTTGTGGGATCGGAACTCAGCATCAACTCAGTGCGTATGTCTGCTCGAAGGAAAGGCCCAATATGCAAGAAGGTTAAGAAAAGTAAAATCATGCGTGAACTTGTTCTACGACGACCAGCGCCTATGACTACATCTATGGCTACTGTCGACACAACTGAGTCATATGCCGCCAAAAATCTAGCACAATCCTCAGGTCTTGTAGAGTCCAACGACGTCTTTGTGTCGAGGAAATCTCAGCGCCAGACAAAGACAGGATCGACACAGTTCCTCAAGGCAGCAGGTCACGGCGCCAATTTGAGAGCTCATCAGCGTTACTCTCCGCATCAACTGGAAAAGCTCATCAGCCACAAGCTAGCCAGTATCAGCGCACCAGTACGGCGCTCTGAGAGCTCCGAGTCGAAATGCTCAGTGGCACCATGCTCTTTCTGTAATGAAGATGAATGTGATGGAGATGATCGGGCTACGGTCAGTACTGACAGTTTCGGCTGCTTGGATTGAAACATGCGGCCGGTCATGGACATGTCATGTCAAACAGCGCTATTAGATGGATATAATGCTGCCACCCAGCATCTTCCCATATTTCCCTGAGAAGCAGATGGACATATGTCTAGCTACATAAGATATTTAACCAAAACCAGACGCAAACAGAGAGCATGCTTTTCCTAATTTCCCGGATATTTACCTCACCAAATCAATTATCAAACCAACTCCTCCCTCCCATTGGCATTCACATTCTCAATACCCTACTCCCGTGACTTGATTAGACCTATAGAGTCTCGAACTACATGTCCGTTGCGCCTGTGTCTTACAAACGCCCTCACCCACCTCCACCCCCTCACACAACTACCTCGATCATGTAACCTAAACATCACTCATCCCTCCATCAAGCGCGCAACCAGCAGTTAGCCGAGAGATTAAGACCTAGTCATCTGCTATAACATCTGTACGAGTCAGTCAACTTCCAGACCGTTCGGAAGTTGCAGTTGGTATTATCAGGTTTAGGTCGCACTTTATACGAGAGGGTCTTTTTCCTTTTTTACCAGTTGTGTGGTCTTATTCTTTTGGCTTGTAGTTTGGATATGACATGCAAGGGTTTGTTGGGTCTGTGGAACATGAGGGGAGTTCGCTATACGTTTTCACGGTGTAGATTAAGGATATAACCACGAGGGAGGCTGAGGGCTGGGATTGGGTGCGTTGGTGGTTTTTGGAGTTGTTGTTAGTGAGGATGTGGTATAATGCTCCAGATTGGGCTGATGGAAGATATACGCTATTTTTTCAGATGCTCTCATGCGGGTATCGTATATACTAATCTTCAATCGCTAACATACAGAATATATGGCTGTATAATAATGCGCTCATACCTCTACATCGCACAATATGTGTGTCGTAAAACAAACCAAGTCCAGGCAGCCCATCTCTCTACATGCGCATCCTACTCATCTCCTCCAACGTCCAGTACTTCCTCATATTCTCCGCGCCCAACTGCTCCACCTCGTCATCCAAATGCTGCCACAATACCTTGCCGAACCCGTCCAGAATCTCCTTCAACTCTGACATCCTCAGTTCCCGCTCGCCGCTGCTACATTCTTCGAGGTACTGCTCTAGTTTATCCAGGCCCTTGTGGATTTGCTTGTGTTGGCTCAGCAACTCGAGTTCCTTTTTGAAGGCTGGCATCCTCGTTGCCAGCATGGGGAATACGTGTTGTTCTTCGATGGTGTGGTGCACTGTGAGGTGGTGGCAAAATTGTTGGCCCAGCTGGATGAATTGTCTAATCGACATGTTTTGCGGTCGCTTTTTTGCTTCGCAGGCGCCGTATAGAATATTCCATGTGTTGCGGAAATTGCTGTGGAAGTAGTCCATGTGTTCGGCCATGTGGTTATATCTGCGGAACTCGGATGGCGTGAGTTTGGGCAAAGCCTTCTCTTCCTGTGTCTTTTTCGGCACAGCTGAATCTGCAGTTTCCGATGCCATTGTTGCTGGACTCGTTCTTGGTAGTGTGGTGTTGGTGTTGGTCGCAAAGCGCCTTTTGGTAGATATAGTGGCCGATGACTGATACAGAACCCGTAGAGTAGATGTGAGCCTTACAATATGCTTCATATGCGAAAAGGGAAAAGACGACGGTGACGGAGCAGTATATATGCTGGGAGAATACCTGCCTGGTATGATTACATGAGAATCTTGTAATGGACCAGCGTTTGGCCACTCAGAGATTGGCTAAAAAACGATTTCTCAGCCGGATGCGCCAACGCCGAAAGCCCGACGGACCATCGTAACGTGCGCTAGGAAATCGCGAAAACCACACGGTCACGTGTACGATGAGACGTCACCAAGCCCAGACTTCGCCGGTGGTATCGTCGTGCGAAACTACTTTTTCCTCGTCTTGTTAAACTTCTCATGCCACTTTCGTGCAGACGGTTTTGCAGTCGTATCCCTGCTGCCATCATTTGAGCCCTGACCGGCTCTGGTTCTTATGGTTGTCTCTGTCGGGAACTCGTAGACTCCTTCGATAGCACTCAACTGCGCGTCTTTCCGCCATGCCTCTGGTAGTCGGTCTTCCCATGTGTCGGTGAAGTCAGCGATAAGGAAGTCGGCGCCACGCTTGGCTTCCAGCAGCATTCGCCCAGTGAAGTGGACTGTCCGTTTCCGATCGAGAGAGGACCAAGCGCCCTCCCTATCCGTGCCTTCTGTAGACAGGTAGGCTAGAATAGCCTTGACCAGACCTGGCGGATGGCCTTCCTCGGCCACTGCATCTGTGATGTCAAGAGTCAGGAATTGACTGTCGAGCTTCACTCCCTCTGCCAGCGCTGCGCCGTTTATAGACCGCCATACTTGCGTGAGAGCGTTGGGGGATGGCTGGTAGGAGCTGTCATCCAGCTCAAAAGCCATGATGTTGTCCCATGCCGTCTGGCACTCCCCATCCGACATGGGCAAGTCCTCAAACACGCTCAGCTTGCTCTTGCCATTGCTGGGTGCATCGACGTCCCCTGCGACCAAGTCGTACACTGGTAGCGCATCCCGCAGCAACGTGACAGCAGGTGCGGCCGAGGGGTGCAGCTCGAGGGTTGCCGTGCAGGCTGCAATTGCACATGTCTCTGGGACTGGGATGTCGTTGCCATGGGTTTCGAGCATGGGCTGGGTGACGAAGAGCGAGTTGGACGTCTGAACCTGGCGTAGCTGGAAGGTCTTGTTGGGCGTACAAAGTACCGCATATGCAGGCTTCGCATGCGATGCATTAGAAGGAGCAGAAGGGGCTAGCGACTTGATGGACAGCCTAGGCGCACAACGTAAGAAGGGAGTCGACGGGGAGACGACATGTCGGCGCACCTACGGTGGGGGGTTGGGCCTCTCTATCAGCTCAGCCACTTCGGGTGGGAGCTCGAGCAGGCGGAAGTGTAGCATCTCGTGGGCAATGGAGAAAGGCACGCCTCCTTTGTCTTGCTGCGTCGCCATGCAGAGAATGTCTCGGGTCTACCTCTGGCTGTCTTGGAGTCTCGTGGAAGCGGTAGGAGGATCTGGTGATTGTCGTGATGGACCGCGGCTGTGTTCGACTCTTGTTTTTTGTTTTCTTGTTTGCGGGGGGTTTCTCCTCTACCGGTACGGCCCAGAGGCGGCCCTTGGTGGATATTTGACGCGACTCGACGCGATGGGGCTGCAAGGGCAAGCGGCTTCAAGGCCAAAATACCAGTCACAGCCAACAGCCGTGTGTCCGCTTTCCGGGAACCCCCAGCCTCTGATCGTCGCACCGGTTACACATTTGCCTACTTTGCCTACCGACAGGTCCTTGTTAGTCTATATTAGTCTACTGTCTATGTGCCGGTAGTACCTAGGCAAGAGTACCTGTACCTATTGTTTGCTGCTGCGTCAGTGCAGCTCTCCCGCCCACACGCTTGCCCGTCGTCGCCCGTCGCCGCCGCCGCCGCCACCAGCTGACCTGGTTTCGGGCGGTCGCAGGCAAAGAGCGAGCTCGCCCTCTGTTGCTGTTGTTCGCGCGCCTTGTTTACCTGTAGGTAGACTCGACCATCGCGCCTTCCCAGTTCCCTCCTGCACGCATGGCTTAACACTGAACAACAACAACAGCCAACAACAACCCAACACCAACAACACCAACAACACCAACACCAACCAACAACTCTCATACCAAACTCTCACCACTCACCACCACCTACCACCGCCAACCACTACCCACTACCCACCATCTCGACCTCGACCCTCGACCCTCTTTTCTCCCCTCCATATCCCTTTGCGCCCATTGCGTCATGCATTGCTGAGCCCTATCGCCCCTTAAGCTCGCTCGCTACTGGCCGCACCCAACTTCGTCACTCGTTTAACGCGCAGCCCGCAACATGGTCATAATTAACCCCGAGCCCGCCGCGCTCTCCTCCGACAATCTGTCGCTCTTCTATACCACAGACGAGCTCCTCTCTAATTCACCCGTCCTCATCTTCTACGGGCCAACAGCCACCACGACCCAGGCGACGCACTCGCGCATCCAAGCGCATGTGTTTACGCCTGCTGGCCTGCAGAATTTTGCCCGTCTCATCATATCGCCCACGGCCACCTTTTACAATGCAGTCACTTGTCTCCCACGCGAGGAGCAGGGTGACGAGATATGTCGCGGGCTCGCCTTCAGTCTGTACAAGTACCTTGTCGAGCTGCCGCAGGAGACCAAGAATGTATGGGAGAAGCGATACTCGACACTGGCTAGCTTGCCCTCGGCCCCCAAGCTCTTCTCGGAAGCCCATGCTGCAATCGTCGCAGCCAAGATGATCAAGGTGGAGAACGTCGCGGAAGTCATAGTAGACGTCCGCCACGCACTTGGGGAGCAGTCGCTCTCCTGGATAGACCTGGATGTAGTCTTGCCACGCGGAAGCATACAGAAGCTGGACACGCGCGAGTCAGCCCAGTTTGACGAGTTCGAAGACGACATTGACCAACAACGATATGGCCAGTATGCGCCCATCATCAAGCTCTTTGGGGAGGCCGCTTTCCTGCCCACTTCCAAATTGCGCCGAGCCCCTTCCAAACCCACGAGCTTGAATCGATCGCAATCCTTTTCGAGAAAGCAGAAAGAGACCCTCCGCCGCGAGATGTGCGAGCTACTAGACACAGAGGAGAACTACGTGAGCAAGGTATACGAACTAGTACACACTGTTGCGGTCGAGTTTCGTGAGAAAGCGAAGCTCAAGTCGACGTCGAGCTCAAGTCCGACTGAACAGGCCTTGAAGGGGTTATTTCCCCCCAGCCTGGATAAGATTCTCGAGGTAAACTCGCAGTTCCTGGAGGCTCTACGCGTCATACTAGAAGAGACAGAGAATGGTGCCATCGCAGACATTGAGCAGTCCACCGACGATGTCTTCATTGCCCCATTGCGCGGACAGAAAGATCCACCAGATGTAACTGGAGCTGCCGCTGTCGCGAAGGCTTGTCTCGAGTGGTTTCCACAGTTTAGCGACTGCTACACAGAATACATGGCCGCCCATGGAGACTTTTCGCAATTGCTGAAGCTCTTCACAAAGGACACCAACTCAAGCTTCTCGAAACGGGTCTATGAAACGGGCGAGCAAAGGTTGACTTCGATGTTGATCGAACCAGTTCAACGACTGCCACGCTACAACCTATATATTGACAACATCATCAAGCAACTCCCAGTAAGACATCCTGCAATCAAATCATTCCTCAAAGCTAGAGATATTGTCACCGAAATCTGCACAAGAGAGGGGCCAACTGCGCAGCAAATAAGAGTCTGTGACCGTCTGCGAAAGATGACCACCGGGTGGCCAACAGGTTTCAACCCACAAGGACGGCTCATCACTGCACTTGATTGTGTCGAACTTGCACCACCCTTTCACGGGAGCTTGGGCCCATTGGATACACCTGGGATCCTCGTGCTCTTCACTGATTTCCTGGTCATTCTACGCAAATCGGAGGATGGCACTTCCACCGCTCGTGGCTTACTTGCTGATTTGGACAATCCCAAGTTTGCCGAATCTTTTAGCGGGTCGACAGATCTTGTGTTTCACCAACAACTGTCGCTGTCCGATGTCTTCATCACTGAACACGATGATGGAAGCATCCTTCAACTACTAGCTCCATGTCCATCTTCGAATCAGTCTAGCCGACCCCGTAGTCGGGAACGAAAAGTGATGGGAATCCGGATGTTCTATTTGCATGGCATTTACGAAGGCAAAGCACAAAAGTTCGTCGAGGAGCTTACGAAAGCACGCGTAGAGGGCCGATTTCCTGAAAATGAACGCGAAGGACCCAAGTGGGAAGTACGAAGTCTACCGGGCGACCTGAGTTACTTTTCGTCTGTTTCAGAGGAGATCGGATCGCAGAGAATTGAAGGCCGAGGAGCGCCGGCGAGGGTCCAGATTCTAGTAGACTCAGGTGCTTTTTCACAACCCATACAAGTGGGCCATGACGGCGTTGAGCTCTCAGTGTCAATCTCCATGCTTGGCGATGGTTTCTTTCTATTGGATACTGCCGGCATCCTAGGCTACTCAACACGGGATAAGCTGACAGAAGTCGAATTCCTGCCGGTCCTTACCAAACGACTATCGAACTACTTTCAATTGCGCAACAGCGTGAAGAACCCTGCAGTATCCGAGGCGTATCTTCTTCGCAACCAACACGTGCTCAACTCGTTGACCCTTCAAATCAACGAGGATCAGGAAGAACAAGGAAGCAAGAGCCGCCCACACTCTCCAGTGAAGATGCTCTCCAACTTCTTCGGTGCTAGCGTAGGTCAAAGTGGTTCTCGCCGACTTCAACGAAATGCACATACTGTTGGGGAGATTCCTCGATTGGCGCCGCCATTGCAACCAGCGCCCAGTCGAACGCATAGTTTTGACAATGACGCATCACGACCAGCGTCATCCAGCAAGAACGTAGCGTTCAGCGCGACGACCACCACCGATCCAAATGGCAAGATAGAAGAAACTCTTGAGAATCTGACTCTAGCGTTGCACGCTCGCAAAGGCAATATTGTTGGTCGCTCGGTGCGTTCAAGGGCTGTGGCAGACGAGCTTGTAGTGAACGAGCTGTACAATTCGCTTTTGGAGAATCCTGCGAACCTTGACCTAGCTGGGCAGTCATCCGTCGATGTACTCTTTGCGGTCTTTGAGAAGTTTCTCCAGGTTGCCTGGAAGGAACGCATGGGGCCTGTGCTATCTCACGCCACCTTCGTTTCCTTGCAGATGAGGTCTGACAGCATGCCTCCGGGCGAATTCGAAGAATACTTCCGGGCAACCTTCAGCCAGCTCATGCCGGCGAACCAACGAGCACTGCGTGCTATCATGCATCTCCTCGCAGAATTGCTAGACGGGACTAGTAACGATGGCGATCGCGGAGTTCTGACTGCTGCATTCGCTGAGATGCTCGTCCCCGCCGGCAACGCCAATGACTTCATATCACTGATGGATCGGCTGGTACAGGACGTAGAAGCCCTCTTCCCAATTCCGAGTACGGGCTGGAATACACCGAATTATGGCTCTATGGATTCTCGATATCAATCAGGGGCTACAGGATCGATACATTCAAACACTTCTCTGAGGAAACGTTTCGGGTTCAGCACCTTGACCAGAGAGAACAGCAAGTCGGAGAACGAATCCAAGGTCGGCTCACTGTGGCGCTCCCTGAGTAAGAACAGTCATGGGATGGATAGCCAGCCTCCCAGTCCAAACAAAGTCGGCGCTGGCTCCATTGGCCGCTCTAATTCTACGGATGCCGGTCGAATCTCGCCAAAGCGTCCCTCCTCTCGAGACCGCCCCAGTGTTCTAGGCGCGTTCAACTTTGAAAACGGAAATGCTGCCAATCGAGCTTACGTGGGTGGTTTGGGAACTATTGGAGAGGTACCTCCCAACGTGGGCCCTCCTCGCAAGAAGCGCCGTTCTTCATTGAGTGATCTCAAGACTCTACAGGATGCTAACGATGTGCCCTCGTGGTCTCCGCAGACTCCTCGTAGACCTGATTCTGGTTCTTCTGACGGTCATGAGCATCGCGAGACAAGCACATCACCTCGAACGCCTCTGCGAGCCAGTATAGGACCGAGCAAACACACATCATCGATCCCTGCTCCTACAAAGCTTGGCTCCCCTATGCGAAAGGACAACTCTCCGGGGGCCACGCTCGACCGTGTCGGCAGCATGAGACGGAGGGCTCTCACTGTAAAGGAGGAGTCCAGGGACAAGGTTACGGTCAAGACATTTAGCCCAGTGAAGAGGCGCGGGGAGTCAGTCTCAAGCATCCCCAGTCTCAAATCTATAGTTGGCTCCGGCCTTCTCTTGGAGAGGCCTGGGTCAGGTAACTCTGTCAAGCTACCGCCCTCGACACCTCGATCTCCCACCAAATCGAACACTCCAGCAAGCCCGCCCAAAAGGCTGCGAATGCAATCTCCTCAGAAGCTGCGAGAACGACTGGAGACGCAGCAACGAGATATTGACACGGCCTCGGTTGACCTGCAAAACGAATTAAGTGCGATTAGTCAAGAGCTGAATGCTAGGAGCCATTCGCGCCTTGGCCAAAGCTCAGGCCGTCCGTCCACTCCCAACGGAGCGCGCACACTTGAATCTCGCATAGCGTCATTGGAGAAGCAGCTGAAGGCTACACTGGACACGCTCTCGACGCGATCAGCGGCCATTTCGAATGACGTGACGACGTCGCTTCAAGTGTCTGAAGCGCGATGCAAACACCTGGATCAAATCTATCGAGAGGTCAATGCCGAAAACGAGGCACTGTATGGACGCTTCAACGAGGAGCTAGAGAAGGTGACGGCCAGCGTGCGCAAAGGCAAGGCAGGGGAAGAAGTGGAGCGGCGGTTGAAGGCAAGCGAGGAGGAGGCAGCACGGCTGAGAAAGGAGAATTCACGACTGAAGAGGGAGGTTGCGGGACTCAAGGCTCAGATTAGGGAGTGAGTAGGTCATGGCCACTGCTCTCTGCTCTCCCCTGCACTAGATTTGGACACACGTCTGCGTGGTATCGTGGTGGTTTGTTGACCAGTCTAGCAGTATGGACGGGGTGGTAGCTGTACCGGCCAGGGTGAGGAGTGGGATGAGATGGATGGTTTCTCTTTTGTTCGATTGCATGGTCACGGCGTTTGAAGCGAGCGTGGGGCGTTTTGGGGGCATCATGGGGACTATTTTCATGTGGGTGGGTTGTGTGTTGGTGAGTGGGTTGTTTGCGATGCTGAGCATTGCGGTGAGGGCACGAGGCAAGGCGAGCACGGTCTAGGTCATGAGAGAGAAGAGGGGAGAGGGATGGCGACGACTGGGATGAAGGTGGGCGTTTTTATTCGGGAGTGTCTAGAGCAGAGCAGTATACCATTTTGCATATCTTGGTGGAAAAGGAAGGAGAAGAAGAATGGAGGAAAGGAGGAAAGAAGAAGGAAAGAAGGAAAGAAGGAAAGAAAAGTAGTTCCGCGTCTTGTGCCAAGAGTGACATGGTATGCATGCTGAAGTGATGCGATGTACCCCGACAATGAAACCTGATCCCTCGCCTCTTGGTTGGGGCAACACACGTAGCGTCTTGCAAGAAGCTGGCCATGTCTTGTCCCCGTGCGAGGAGACTGATGATGGATGGATGGTGGGCCATGTGTAGTAGAGTAGAGTAGAGTAGTAGCCTGGCATGCTTCGCTTGGACTTGGCCTCCAGTCCCCATGATGCAACAGACAACAGACGCGGCTTGCGCTTGGGCGGCTTGTGCAGGAATGGGAGGATCATGAATGGTTTGTACTCTACTGTATTCTACCTAGGAACTCCCTGGCTGCCGGTGCTGGGGAAGTTTCTGGGAACTGCCCTTTTTCTGTTTGTTGCAGATGGGTGCAGAGATTGAGCATGTGGTGCTGGGGTCGGTGTTGGAGATGGGATATTTTTGATCTGGGGGGGGGGGGGGGGGGGTGGGAAAATTTTTATTCGGGGGGGGGGGGGGGGTGATTTGTACAAGGCAGTTATTTATCCGGTTTTCCTTTGTCTTGTCTGTTTGAAATGGGGGGGTTGTTTTGGGGGATTGATCTCGCTTCTTCTTCTTCTTCGTCTTCGTCTTCGTCTTCTTCTTCTTCTTCTTCGTCTTCGTCTTCGTCTTCTTCTTCTTCTTCTTCTTCTTCTTCTTCTTCTTCTTCTTCTTCTTCGTCTTCGTCTTCGTCTTCGTCTTCTTCTTCTTCTTCTTGTGAGGGACTGGGGCTAGCGTGGGCAATTAGGCCCTTGCCAGCACATGCATGTCATGACGGGCACCCTGGCCTTGGCCTTGGCCTTGTTCGCGGTCCGTTTGTAGATTTGGGGGGCGGGGGAGGGGGCTTGGGGATGGGCTTGGAGGGGCTTGGGGGTGGGGGGACCTGTGTTGGTTTGTCTGGGAAGAGGGGGTGGTGATGGGGATGGATGGATGTGTGTGGAATTGCGTGTACAGTCAGCATCACATTACCTGCTTGTGTACCGCATCCGTACCCGTAGACAGCACGGTGTCTCTTTTCCCATCATCGCGCTGTCCGTGTCCTGTCATCGCTCTCGTCTGCTCTGCAACCGAACACCGAGTCGCAAAGAGAGTTTTGGCAAGGGCCCCAGATGGTTAGGTGGCGTACCTAGCCCACTCAATCTACCTTGCCCTACCCTACCTACTCGGTGCATCTCCAAAACGCGTGCGGCTGGAAACAGTCACTAGTAGAACCGGAAACGGTTTCACCACCAGCGGCCAGCCTCTTGAGGAGAAGGTTGGTACATACCAGAGGTCAGAGGTCAGAGGTCGGCGCTCGGGAGCCCGGGGGGAGGGGCCAAACGCTGGCGGCCGATCTTGGGCTGTCTGTCGGTGATTGTGCGCCCTGGTTGTACTATGAGCCGGTGTGAGGTGGGTGGGTTGTGCTTGGGTTCGGTTCGGTTCTTCTTCCGCCAGGTACTCTCTTGACTTGCCTGGCCTACCTGACTACCGACCCAGCTACGTACTTTGGTACATTCGACACATTCCCAGTCCATACCGAGAGCCATAATACACACAGACACACCGACACCCGCACACGCGCACACACCCACACCCGCACACACGCAGCACACACCCACGCAAGCACAGAGACGCGACTGCGGACCCTTCTTCTTTGCAAAACCCTCGGGCAGATTGGCCACGGGGGGATCGGGAGGAAAGGGGTGAGGGACGAAGAAGGCCGCCCGTTTTCCTCGTAGCTGACCAACTCTCGACCGCCTTCTATCCACGGTCGCGCCTGTTGTCAAACGAACACTGGCTCCCTCCTCCTTGATGGAGAGCGGCAATGCCTTCTTACACTGGAGCTGAGACCGAGTGCTGCTACTGCTGCCACTGCGCCCACCACCGCCACTACCAACACAACCATCACCATTCCTCGTCCCGCCGCCCAACTCGACCAGTGCCGGCCCAACTACACAAACTCTCGCAATTCATCTTCTTCTCGCCAGACGATTTGGCTGCTGACATATTCCTCCCGGGTCTTACTACTACTACTACTACCACCATCACCACACCACCGGCAGCGAACACAACAACACCATCATGGCGTGGTTCATGAGAGGCGTGCAGAGCGCAGTCTTCCACTATGCCTCATGTGCACCATGCGTTGGCTACACAGACAGCAGAAAGAGGCGGAGAGACGCCAAGCACGCACGCAAGGCGAGGGAGAAGCTGATGCTCGAGGAGCCAGACACATATCACCACCCGGAACCCACGGGCACCAATCCCTACTGGGAAGAGGAAATCGCAATGGGTCCAGGACCACCGCCGCGAAGGGCGCGGAGGGCCGGCACGGGGAGCACGCGCTGCATCACCACGGCGGGCACCCAGAGCTCCGCCGTCAGCAAGATGGGAAGCAGTGTCGACGGCGAGCCCAAGGAACGTCTGCGACTCAGCGACGACACGCTGGAGGATGGCAACTGGAATCGCAAGCGATATCAGAGAGAGGACGAGGAGCTGTGGGGGCACGACGAGCTGCGCATCTCTCTCCAGCAGACGGGCAGCGGCTCTTCCGTCGGCGTCGTCGGCTTCCCAATACGAAGACCAGGCACATCCAGGTCAGGAAGCTACTACTCTGCCCGCGCACCGCCAGTCAACGAACTCCATCCACCCGTCGTCAGTCTGCCCTCACCCGATCCCGCTGAGAACCGATGGATGCTGCAACCACCTCCGAAAGCCAGTGTCATGGCCGGCAAGGAGCGCGCCAACAACATGAGCCGCAGCCACAGCGGCTCTAGCAGTCGCGTCGAGTTGAATCTCGGCAGACAGGTCAGCACAAAGCAATTGATGCAGAAGCTGGAACGACGAAACACGGGCGACGTGCCATCCATCTCCCCAGCCAGTTCCCACGCCAACCTCACCTCCGCCCAACGATCTCGCACGCCACAAGCCAGACCACCCTCTGCATCGAGTCTACACCGTAAGCGCCGTGACACGGCCATATCCACAAAATCAACCATCACACGAAGCTCTTCTGCCAACGACTCGAGCGACGCGCTCGCCCGCGCTTCCACCACTACCGCAACCACCATCTCACAACCACCCCCACCGTCCTCCATGGCCAGCTCGACCACAATCGCCTTCTCCGACCCAGCTGCCCCCACCACCTATACCCCCCGCCCAGTCCTCTCCACCATAGCCTCAAGCAACTCCGGCATCGCCTCCCCGACCCTCTCCCCCAGCACCCCCCGCCGCCCAGCCACCAGCGACGAAAACTCGATCCCCGAGAAACCGTCGCCGGTCCACCACCGCTTCCCCTCCGACTCCACCGTCTACCCCTCCCACACCCCCTCGCTCACCTCCCTGCACAAGCAAACACCGCTCAACACCTCGGACACATCGACCCTGCACCGCCTGCAAGATCTCGTCTCCCCGCGTGCCCTGCTCAACTCGCGATTCGTCAGTGCGCCCTTGGTCGAGGCGAGACTGCGCTTGCCGCCGAGTGAAGAGGACATGGGGAATCGGGTCAAGACGGGTGCTGGCCTCGCGACTATGCATGCCAGGTGGCCGCCCGTCCGCAGGCGGGGGAGTAGGAGTCGCGAGTCTGAAAGCAGTGAGGGCGAGGACGAGGAGGACGAGGAGGAGACGGTGCGGGTCCCGTTTGATAGTTTTGGAGTGGCTAGGGATGTGCGGTTGAGATGGAGTGTTGATTTTTAAACTCTTGTTTCTTCTTCTTCTTCTTCTTCTTCTTCTTCTTCTTCTTCTTCTTCTTCTTCTTCTTCTTCTTCTTCTTCTTCTTCTTCTTCTTGTTGTTCGAGTTGTTGTTCTTTGCGAATCATTGCATTCTTTCTTCCAGTCTTCCATCCATTCTTCCTTCCTTTTTGTCTTCCTCACGCGCGCATTTTCGGCACGGCTCGCTTGCATTCCTCTTTTCTTGCCCTTGTTTGCACCGTTTTTCAAGTCGCATCGCGCATTAGGCGCGCAATTTGCATGGCTTTTTGATTGGCTTGTTGTTGCTCGTTTCGTTTCGATTGCGGATCCCAGAGGAGAAGGGAGAAGAAAGAGGAGAAGAGGGAAAGAAGAAGACCCAACCCTCTCCCCCCCAAGCCAAACCACCATCCTGGAATTCTAGAAACCCTGAAATTCTAAACCCACAAATCACCACCGCACTCTCCCTTCCCACCTTCCACCCACCGGCGTTTTTCTTTTTTCCTTCCCCGCAGCCTGTTTCCCGCTGTTCCCGGCGTTTTTTTTCCCTGCTCGTCCAAACATGAATGGGTTTGCATATCATATGCGCAAAGCGCTTGCGTGTTTCTTCCTTCTTTCCAATTTCCCCCGCCCTCTTCCTTTTTCGCCGTCTGTTCTTCCAAGGACTCCCTGCTTCCTCCCCGTCTCGCAAAGTGGGCTCGCTGCTACATGTATGTCTGCCCGTGCACTGGTTTTATTCGCACGAGTGCACGTAAGGTGCTGCGATGGGCATGGCGTATCACGCGCAACATTTGTCGCGGATGCGTGAGGGTAGCGGGAATGTGGGGTTGGGATTTGTGTATACAGCTGAAGAGGGAAATTGCCAGGTTTGTTTTTGGGATGGTTGATGGTTGTTGGGTCAAGTTGAGGAAAGTGAGCAGAGCAAGGCATAAGATGGGAGTGGGTGTTGTGTGGAGATGTGCCTGTTCTTTTGTTTGCCATGTGGTGTTTCTTGTCGATACTGATTGAGACTGAGACTGAGTGATGGATATTTTTATTCCGCTACCTGGTCGTCCCCTTGTCCCTTCCTTTCCCTACCATGCCATACTCCAAAACAAACTCCCTCAACCGCCCCATTTAAACACACCTCCAATGCCCGACAACAACAACCCTACCCATCCCTCTCCCTAACCCCCAAATCCCAAATCCGCAACGTCTCCCCCCGTCCCCCTCTCTTCCCCTTCCCCCCCTTCTTCTCAAACTCGCCCAGCCTCAACATAGCCTTGCCCACACAAGCCAGACAATCCACCAACTCGCTCATCCGGCCGGTGCGCAGCAACACGCGCTGCAGCCACTTATTCTCCTCGTCGGCGACGAGGACGGCAATCTCCATGGCCTTGACGGCAGGGTCGCGGTGCAAAAAGTAGGAGCTGGTTTGCAGGACGGAGAGGTAGGCGAGGACGAGATCGGGCATGTAGGCGTTGCGCAGGTTGTTTGTGTCGTGGGTGGGGGCTTCGGGGGAGTGGGAGGTCGACGCGATGAGGTGGTCGAAGAGGGAGGAGAGGGCGTCGAGGATTTGCTTGGTGCGTTGGGTGTCGGGTTTGCGAGGGGGGAGGGAGGGGTCTTTTGCGCGCTCGTTTCGGACTCTGGGGGGGTTGGGTTAGTGATGAGCTTATTATTATGGGAGAGGGCCTGGGTGGGGGAATCATGATGGGGGCAAGGAAAGGATCAAAGACTAACCTTATCAGATTTTCTTCTACTTCACGCCATTCGCGGAAGAGGATGAGGAGGCGTACGATTTGCTGAAGGTCATGGTAGGGTGCACTTTGTTTGCGCAAGTCTTCGACGATTTCTCGGTGCCTTTCCGCAGACGGGAGCTTGTCCAGGGGGAGGGCGGTGGGACGGGTGATGTCGGTTAGGGTATCGCGGAAGTCGTACAGCTGGCGTTCATCTTGTTCCTCTGCGCCAGGCATGGTGAAGTCGAAGGGGTAGCCGCACAAAGCTTCTGTTCGTGAAAGGGAGAGTGTTTCGACGCTTAGATCGGTGATGACTTTTTCGGCTGCACCGATGCGACCGTTGACTGTGCGAATAGATTAGTATCAATCAACACATGCGAATTTTCTTTTGACTTACGCAAGAAGATTGTCAGCGCATTTCTAAGGTGCCAGAAGGTTTGCTCGTAGTCATTGCCAATGTACTGGTACCATTGCAGGGCTTCAATGATGGCCTCCTCCTTCTCCTCAATGGCATGTCCTTCAAACTCGCGCTTGATGCGTTGGCCAGGCCATAAAATCTGCTCTTGCAGTGAAGTAACGCGTTCCACAATCTCGAATCGCTTGATAGGCTTCGTGATAACTGTATACCCCTCGTCGTCAAAGTGAGTAAAGCCACTGTTCCGGAAGGCGAAGGTGAAGGCCTGCGAGACGACAGTGATGACATCAAGACCGTAAGTCTCCATGAGTGCAACACATCGCCTTTGCTCATCGCTGTTCTTAATGTCTGGTAGAACACGGGCAAGGCAGAGGGCTCCTCGCTGAGGCGACAGTTGCGCAGCGTAGAGTGGTATCAGTGATATGCGTTTGGAGATGCGCAGGAACTCGATGTAAGCTGCAATCACGTTGTCCCAGGCCAGCCGTTGTTGCTCGTCAGGTGTCTTGACAGCACCTATGCCATTGCGGAAAATCATGCAGATGTGCACCAGTACTCGGAATGCATGAGGATCGCTCACAAGTGTCTGATACCACTTCTCAGCGGTAAACGTCCTCTTTTCGCCTTCTGGTTTGGCATTTCGATCTGCTCGTGATGAATCGGGATGAATGATCAGGTTCTGCTGTCGGTCGTCATCCTGCATCATGTCCGCTAACGCGACTCCAGTCTTGAGCATGAGTTCTTCAAAATCCCTGCTAATGAGGGCACCTTGAATTAACTTCATCGGCATTACGGCTTGTGCCGCTGTGCTCTTCTGTTGCTTCAGAAGGCTGATCACTTTCTGCGCTGAAAACTTCCAATCTCCAATATTGGCAACTGCGTCTTGGAAGACAAACTTCGAGGTCAAAGTTTGGCTGACGCGTGAAGGATGCTTTCGTGGCAGGTAGGTGTCAAATCTCGAGAGAAGGAGGGCGTTGTAGTGAGCGTAGAGGTGATCGTCCCAGGACCGACTGACGGCTTGTACCTGCTTCAAGTCTCCACCAAGTAGACCGTAGACAGCAGCTTCATAAGGTATGCGTGCTCCTCGAGCTGTGTGGAAGCACATGCGGCGGAAGAGATATCCGACCGTCGGCCCAGCCACGTTTGGCCCACCCTCTGGATGTGCCTCAACTGCTGCACCCAAGCTGACTCCGCGCCAGCCTTCGTTCCTCTCTTGGCACCAATCGACAATCTCTTTCCATGGCCTACCGCGTCGCATCATCTCGTAGCAAACCATCCACAATGCGCGCTCATAGTACTCGTCCGATTTCTCAAGCGCTCGCTTCTGCCGTGTGGGCGCATCGGGGTCCAGTTGGGTGACGAGGGTTGCAGTTCGATCAGAAGTCTTGAGATTTAGGTCTCGGTTCAAGGGCTGATCAACGCCTTCTAAGCGCTTGACCTGCTTGATCTTCGTCTTGGTATCTAGCCATCCGCTTGTCCATGTATGTACTCCTTTTCCAGAGACTTCTTGCAATTCAGCAGTGATGGACTCAATATCACTCTCGCTATTGTCTGCTGTCTGTTCCAACCACCGCATCACAAGGACCTTCTCTTTTGCATGGTCATCTTCTAGCAAGAAGCGGTCCCAGATTTCGCTATTCTGGCAGTAGCGATTTGTTCCTCCAACCTTTGCTAGTCGCGCCTTCTTCTCTTCTTGTGGGTTGGTATCGGGCCCAGGATGGTAGTGATCGATGATCAGCCGTAAGAGCTCCCAGGTTGCGAGCTCTGCTTGCCATTCGCGCAAATCTTGGAGATTTCTCGAGACATTCGCACCGTTAGCATTGCTGGACATGGCGAAAGGCTGACTTGATTGGCCAAACGAGGTCTGCTCAGCGTTTTCGGTAGCATCGGCCATGGTTTGTATGCGCCGGCGTACACTGCGACTCTGCAGATCCTTGTGCTCCGTGGCATGAGCCTTCTTCAACTCCTTGACATGCGAATCCGCCATATCTCTGAACTTGCCCACCATCTTCACTGTCGCCTGATGCTTGGCCTTCTTGGAGTCGTTCCCATTCGTATGCCACTGGTCGACCCGCTCAGCGAACCTCTCCACCTCTTTCCCAACGCGATCTGCCATTGCGCGCAAGGGCTGTAGAGGGTCATTGGGTGTTGTGCTGTCCATTGCACGTGAGGAAGCGAAGACGGACGCGCTTGCGCTTGGAGACTATCACATAACGCGGGTTAGTCGAACGTTCCTCCATCGATGCCATACTCTGCAGTCATCGAGGTTCATTGTTGACATACCCGTACAGCAGTGGGCTGCGACTGCCGCGCAAAGGAAAAGGAAGCCATGCCGCTATGAAGGCGACCAGTCTAGACAGCGCGATAAAAAGGTTGACGGTCGGATGGCCAGGGTGAGTAGAGTGAATGTCTGGATCGTGGGCTCCCAGGGCCTTGGGCGTTTGGCTGGACGGCTTGCACAGCATCACAAAACAGCCCGTCGCGGCCGAGCTCAACTAGCGCGACGCCAAGGACAAGGCGCGCTAGTGCAGCCTTTAAAAATTCCTCTCGCGATGCGCTCCGCTGACCTTTTTCTTCTTCAACAATGTATTAAACCTATGGGCGCCGATTTAGAGTCTCGTTGACGTGCTTTCCATGCTGAATAACGCGCTCCCGGCAGTCCTATATCAACACACTTCCTGGTGAACTGGCTGGATTTCCTTCGGGACGTTGACAGTGCGGATATACAAAGGAAGTGTTACATTCATCGGCACAAACATGAGACTGTGTGTATGGCCATACTGCATCGGTCGTTCCCATGACGGCTCTGGAATGGGCATCTGCTACTGCTGTGTTCTACCAGGCAGAAGTTCTGTACCTCCCGCGTGTTTGCGGGCTCTTGACATCGAATCGAGACTTGGTGCACTGTTAAGTCATCACACCGTAGCTCAGAAGGCTTACTGCTCCCAACGTGCATCTTCTTGTCAGTAGATGAGCCACATGTGTCGATACAGGTCTATGGGACTCGCATTATGCGTAATTCTATGCCACCTATCATAGAAACGAAACACTCGCCGCATTGGCTATGAGTTCGGCCCTCAAGAAAACAAAAGTGCACGCAATCTCTGTAATAGTCTTACAAAACCACCTATGATGATGATATAACAGTATTGTACAATGCTCTTGACTCTGGTCTGGGTCGTCTCCACCAGACGCACTGACTTTGCTTGAGGGTTGAAAAGCTCTTTTACTGTCCTTCAGCTCGTTGCTTCATTTTAAGTCTACCATTGTCAGAGTACTATCGGGCAAGGGTTCAATGAAAGGTATACATGAGAAGCGAGTACTTTGGGCAGCTCACTGTGCTTGCGTTTTCCCCTCTCTCCTTGTAGAAGGCGTTGCAGCACTCGTACAAGGCATCAATCTTCCAGAAGTCAGAAACACGGAGCATGGATTGTGGAAGACTGTGCAGTCTCTGACTGGCACACGAATGAAGAACATGGCTCCAAGGTCGAAAGGTCCAAAGGAGGCGATATACGCACCTCTTTCTTGCATTTCGCCTCATTGAAGCTGTTACGTTGTATGCAATCTGAATTTTGAAACACTCTGATGAGCTCTTGTTCATCTTGATCATAACAGCTTGACATACTCTGTATAGCACATGCTCGTGGATGGCACGGTGGGTCTGTCTTGAGATCCTTTTCGAGATCACCCTATGGGTACCGGTACTGGTCAATCGGGTGCTACAGTATGTCTACAGAAGATGAGAGGTAGGCATACCATGGTGGAGAATACAGTTTTGATGGATCCAAATGTTTAAGAAAGGATAAGATGAAGCAGACCCGTCTACTGCAGACTCTGAATACGGGAGAAAAAGCAGCAATCAAGGTGGAACTAGCAACTACTCTGAGCAAAGATGAATGATGGTGAGGGTGAGCTTTGGTTGGCAAGGACTAGCCAATGGCGAATGGGTTGAAGCCCCACTAATCTTCAGTGCTTCGCACCTTACAATTGCGCTTTTGCTCCTTCCCTCCCACATCCACGCGTTGCCACCCCTCCTCTCACAAAGACCGACGCGTCTGTGCGATCTCACAACTGACCTCTATCACCGGCTAACCGTGGCCTGTCCGATTCTGGCTTCAAATGTATGTCCACCAGCCTTTTATATAAAGAGCAGCGCAATCCCCCCCACTTCGAGCTCCTCTATCTACTCTTCCTTTTCGCCGGCCGACTCTCCACTGACTCTTTTGTGAGCAGCTTCACCGCATACCCATCACTTGAAACAGTCCATAGCCCCAAGCCCGACCACTCCAACACCGCAAAATGTCTGACAACGGCTCACCCAACGTGGCGCAAAAGCCCGAGGAGCAAGGCCCTAGCGAACACCTCAATATCAAGGTCACAGACAACAACAACGAGGTCTTCTTCAAGATCAAGCGCACCACTGCTCTTGGCAAGCTCATGAACGCCTTCTGCGACCGCCAGGGCAAGAACATTTCAAGTGTGCGCTTCCTCTTTGACGGTCAACGGGTCACGGCGCAAGATAACCCCGACACGGTAGGAAAAGGGAACGCACGGAATGACCAAGCATAGCGCTAACTTGAATCAGCTCGACATGCAAGATGGCGACACCCTTGAAGTGCACCAGGAGCAGATTGGCGGTGGTTGCTAGTCTCGAGCCGCTCACCTTGCGCTGCATCGGCACCAGCAGAGTAAACAGTCCATGTTCGATACCCGCAGACTTTTGGTGCTGCGATACCGTGAGGGAAGGGAATCTTTTGATTAGCAGCGGCGATGGCTGAAAAGAGGTTGGCGTTGGGGGTTTCATTTTACGACAGGATTATCACGGGCTTTGGCGTCTTACCGATTCTTTGGGCTCGCTATGAGCAATGCAGCCCTGCACGTGTGCACACTGTGGCGAATTTGCTGCTTGTGGATAATCGAAATTTCATACGAACACTTTTTTCTAAGAACCCTGGCGCACGTGTGCTCGTTATGCGCTGGACGAAGAGATTTCCAGAGATGCGTATGTCAAGCGTCAACATGACCAACAGGTTGATGAACGTACGAATTTTATAAAAGCCCACCCAAGCTATATATGCATACACACAAACACAAAACACAACACCCGCGCCATCCCCAAAAGAAATCAGCGCCAGCTAATCCTCCCAAACCGCCTTCTTCCGCCTCTCCCTCTCCTCCGCCTCCCTACTCTCCCTCTCCTTCTCCTCAACCCTCCTCCTCCTCTCCTTCTCCCTAACCACCCTATCAAACTCCCTCTCCTCGTCCGTCCGCCTCGGCGCCCTAACCCCCAACGCCCCCGCAATCAACCTTCCCGCAACCGCCGTCGTCTTCTCCGGCCTCTTCTCACTCGCACTACGCCCGACCGCACCGCCTGGCCCCGATCCAAACGCCGCACCGGATCGATACGGCGAGTTGTCCGGGAAGCCGTCGAATGGGGTGGGACTGGCGGGCGTCGGCGGCGGCGGGTTCGGGGGGCTGTTTATGCTGGAGAGGATGGAGATGGGGGAGGTGGGGGAGTCGGTAGACGGGGCGGTGGCGGTAGTGCTGGTGGTGGTAGCGGTTGTGGTTGTGGTGTTTGTCGAGGTGGAGGACAAGGGCTGGGCTGGGCCTGCATTCTCTTCCGTCTCGGTGTCTGAGCCTGAGAGGTCTTCTTCGTCCCAAGAGTCGGCTACGGGTTTGGACTTTGGCTTGTGCAGTGGTTTCTGCGGGTCTTTGGGGGAGAGCTTGAGGTGGGTGAGTGTGGAGGCGATGTCTGGTCGCTGTTGTTAGTCGGAGGTGTTTGGTGTGGTACCGGTAGGGAGTGGGAGGAGAATGTACCATCTTCGCTTGGGGGGTTGTGCATGGGGGCCATTGTTGTGTGAAGATGTTGTGCTCGCGGGTAATGTAGTGTTGTGCAGTGTGTTGCGTGTATGTTCGATGTTTGGTGTTTTGCGGGGTAGGTGAAGAAGACAAGGTAGGCCGGTAGGTGTGGGTGCAGAGAGTCAACTACAGACGTGACTCTTCAACACTTGGGTGAAAGCAATTGTGAAGCGGAGCCGCAGTCGGGTCAACGATGATGGGTCATGTGCGATTGAATCAATTGCGCTGTTTCCAACCGGATCCTGTCTCCATGGATGCCCTCGAGGATATATACCAGAACAACAGATTGCTATCCTGGACAGCCCAGAACAACCACCCATTTGTACGCCCATCCCCACCTTTTTCCCCCTCTCCCCCTTGCAGACGCAGACGTGTGGGGAAGGGCGCGCGTCACAGAAGCCCCGACGCACCAGCCGATGCGAGCCTCGCATCCGTCGAATCGATACTCTGTTTGTACCCAAACGCTCCACTTCTCGCACCCACCGAGTATTTTGCCCGGGTCTAGAAGCTCCGTTCCAGACTCTGGCCAATGCGTCGTTGAGATATTCTTAGCAAAGGGCTGTGCCGCGGCGGATATTGGGTATTGCGCATGCTGGTGGGCACTGTTGTAGAGGATGAAATAGAGATTGGGTCAGAGTGTTTGTTTGCGCGGTCTGGTGCCTGCTGTTGGTTGCTTGGATGGGAGGGGGATCTGCGGTGGGCGGCTTTTTTGGATCGTTTTGGGAAGATCGACAGGTACACACACACGTTCGATGGTGTAGTTGATGCTCGAAAAATAGAGAGAAAAGACGAAAAATAGAAAGAAAAGAATAGGATTGATTTCTTTAGCTGGGCACAGGGGATGCTCGAGCAGAATCTGCAGTATCGCCTTCTACAACATATCCTTGCCGTTACTGCCTGAGGTTTTGGTTTTGCAAGCCATGTCTCGTGAGGATTGTCTTTCTCATCCGTGCTCCCACCCAGATTAACAACTTGGATACTATTGGAATAGCGGACCTTGTAAGAGTCAATATACTATAGTACACAGCGAGTGTGACGCGTTCCGGCAGAGACAGTGATATATGGTATTCAAGATTCAACATGCCCTCGAGTACCACCACCATTGGCCAGCAGCTAGATCAGTGACCACTACCCAATCCTACATCACTGTACCCCCTTCCTGATACCAAAACGTAAGATGACAATTTGCATACCAAGAGATTATAGCTGATATGCACGAAGCTTACATAGTATGTACCTATATCAGCCATTCGCACACGGTGGATATTCCGCCGAGCATCGCCTGAGGAGCCAGGTTCGGTTATTTGGACATGGACATGTAGCCGCAATGCGACTCGGTTAACTACCTAAGCTGTGAAATAAGTACTCTACATCATTGAAAGTACAGTCCCTTTTTCACATTTCACGCGACCCATGTAGACAGAAGACATCTCCTCATGCACGATAGAGCATTTTTTACACTTTAGACTGTTCCATGGAATAGAACGCTTTCCTGTCTCACTTTGTACATGACAGCCATTTGAATTTTCTCCTCGACCACCATGCTATCTCAACGCGCTCGCTGTGCCAGTCGTAATCTCCTCTACTCAAGATCAATACATCTACGGACAAAATCAGCATCTTTCTCCAGTTCTTTGAGATACAATGGCTACGACGACACCCTACAAAACCTCAAGATCGGGGCTGATACAAGAGTCATCTTCCAAGGTTTCACGGGGAAGCTGGCAACTGCAAATGCAAAAGAGTCCATGGAGTGGGGTACCAATGTTGTTGGTGGTGTCAAGCCCAATGGCTCTGGCGAACATTTGGGTAAGCCTGTCCTGCCTTCGGTGAGGGCTGCCATGGAGCAATTGAAGCCCGATGCTACAGGCATCTATGTGGCCGCGCATCAAGCTGCTGCTGCCATTGAGGAAGCGATTGAGGCAGAAGTCCCGCTCATTGTTGCCGTTGCTGAGCACATACCTTTGCACGATATTATGAGAGTGAGTTGTCACACATGTAAGTAGTATGGTGAGGGGTTATGGACTGATGAGATTCAGATACACTCCATGCTTCAATCGCAATCCAAATCACGGCTTGTTGGTGCCAATGCACCAGGAATCATCTCAGCTATTGGAAGGTGTCGAATCGGCTTCCAACCACTGCCTACATTCTCTCCCGGCCACGTTGGTATTGTGGCAAAGTCTGGCACACTGTCGTACGAGACAGTGGGATCTCTAACAAGAGCCGGGGTTGGACAGAGCCTATGTATCGCTGTGGGCGGTGATGTGATGGCAGGCACAAATTTTATAGACGCACTAAAGGTCTTTGAGACGGATGACGACACGCAAGCTATCGTTCTCATTGGCGAACTAGGGGGCACAACGGAGGAGGAGGCAGCTGAGTGGATCAAAGATTATGATAAAAGAGTTCGAAATCCAAAGCCGATTGCAGCAGTCATTGGAGGGTTCCAAGCAGCTCCAGGGAGGGTCATGGGACATGCAGGCGCATGGGCTGGCCTAGGAGAAGGGACGGCAGAGTCCAAGTACAAGGCTTTGGAAAGCGCTGGCGTGACTATGGTAGACCACCCTGCGAAGTTTGGAGGTGTTATGAAGGAAATCATGGCCAAGGCCGGTCGTAGCAATCCTGCAAGTTGTCTTGCCTGAAAGATCCCATCTTCTCTCACTGACCAAGAGCAGATACAGTCATCGAACTCGTCACAGCAACGCCGGTCTTACCATACAACTCGGCCCACCCGTCCATCGCGGAAGACTCCTCTAATTCTTCAACAAAAACGTTCACTCCACCTCACACTCGACCAAAACTCCACCCTCCTCAAATCCTACAACATCGACGTAATCCAAGAGCCCGAAGGCTCACCCTCCAGCCACTACATTGGCATCTCTCCAGCCCGTTCTGCCCGCTCTCCCTCCATCATCGCTGCCCTAACCGCCAACCCCTCCCATCTCCACCAACGCGTTAAACGATTCCCCTTCGACTACCGCCAAGGACCCACGCAAGCCGTCATCGAAGCCGCCCTCGCACACGCCCAACTCGATGCCGCGCCCCCCAAAGCCAGAGCCCAAACCGCAACACTCATCACCAACCTCTGGAAACTCTACAAGGAAAAGGAAGCCGTCGACGCACACGTCTGTCTCGCTCTCTCCGTCGACACAGATGAAATCCTAGTCTACAACCCCCACCTCTTCTTCGACGACGCAGCCTTCAAGTCCAACAACCGCCACCCAGACCTCCACTCCCTCCGCCCAAAATCCAGCCTCTCCCCCACCGACCTCGATGCCGAACACCACGGCATCGTCTACATCCGCCTTGAATCCCCCCCCGCCTCCCCCTCCCCCAGAAACCTCATCGGCACCCTAGTCAACGGCGCCGGCCTCGCAATGAACACAATCGACATCCTACACACCCGCCTCGCCCCAACCACCACCTGCGCCAACTTCCTCGACACAGGCGGCAAAGCCACCGCACACACCATCAAAACCTCCTTTGAGCTCCTGCTGCGCGACCCCCGTGTCGCCGTCCTCTTCGTCAACATCTTTGGCGGCCTCACGCGCTGTGATATGATTGCCGAGGGCATCGTGTTGGCGTATCGCGAGGTCGGGGTGCGGAAGCCGGTGGTGGTGCGGTTGAAGGGGACGAATGAGGAGGTTGGGGGGAAGGTGTTGGAGGGGGCTGGGGTGCCGATTTTGGCGGTGGAGGAGTTTGAGGAGGCGGTGAGGAGGGTGGGAGAGCTTGTTGGGAGGGGGGAGGGGGTGTAGGGTGGTGGTGGATGTGCATTGAGGGTGTACATAGGATGTATGTTACAATCCAGGATTGCTAACCCGCTCACCCTCTCCTCTAAAAAACAAAACCCAGACAAAAACTCAAGTAACCATACAATCACATCACCACATCCACTTCCAACCCCGTAAACTTTTTTTGTTCTTTTTTTTTAAAAAAAGACATACACATCGACCAAAATCTCACACTCTCTAACATGGCGCAACAAAGACAACGAACACGACATACATACTTCTTACCTCCCTAACCCACCCATATATCCATGCATAAACCCACGTGAACAAACCATCACATCACACGAGCCCATTCAAAGCAACCCACCCCATCCACACATAAGTCCCGACAATCCCCATCCCCAACCTCCCAGATCCTACCCATCTCCTCGGTCAGGCGGCGAAACATCATCATCATTACACACACACACACACACTCAGCAGACCACGAAACAACAGACCACGCACACAAACCCCACAAAAGCAACAAAACGGAAAAATTCCTCAAAACTATCCGAATATCTGGGGGATCTACATGCGACACGCGCAGCGACGCAGACCCCCACAACGACATGGGGAGTAGGCAGCCACGACATCCACACCCGCAACATACATAAACACCAAGACGATTCAAAAAGCGGACACAATGCACATTCAACTACCCCTACCCTACCCTACCCTACCCTACCCACCCCACGCCACCCCAGCCCACCCCCCAGAAAACAAGAAAAGATACCAAAATACCCCCAAAAAAAACACCCGACGTGGCGCGAGGAATCCGGATCGTGCGTGAAGAGTGGAAAAGAGAGCAAGGGGAGAGAAAAAGGAGGGTTGGGATTTAAAAAGAGGGGGTGGTGGGGGGTTGGATGGATGGATGGAGGCAAGGCAAGGGATTATGCGAGGTAGCCGAATGCGGTACTGTGTTGTTGTTAGCATTTGATTCCACAATGATCGTTGTTCGAGAAGGAGAAGAAGAGAAGCAAGCCAGGAATCCAGAAAGCGTCTCCGCGCGGACAACAATAACAATACTAAAAAAAAAAACGTACCCAATAGCAGCCATGACACCAAGACCCACCAACGCCCTCCTCGTCACCTTCTCCTTTGTCAACTTCTGCTCCGTAGTATACGCAACCTTTGCCGCCTTGCTCGATCGCTCCTCCGCCAATTCCGCCGCATCAACAACGTCTTCGATTCTGCGCTTGGCCAGCTTCACGCTCGACGCGCCCGCGGCCGACGAGCCGGCCTCGAGTGCCTGTGCCTCTGCGACCATGCGCTTGGCCTCCTCAATCATCTTCATCGGGTCTTCGGGCTCCGGGAGCTCCGGGTGGGAGTGGGGGACGTCGAGTTTGACATTGGTCGTCGTCGTCTCGACGTTGCCGTTTGTTTCGGTGGTTTCTTGGACTTCGACGCGGAAGGTGCCTTCTTGGACTTGGGCTGGCTTGGCTGCGGGCTCCTTTGCGTCGCCGTTGATGGAGGATGCGGCCGAGTCGGAGGGGGTTGCGCCGTTGGCGATGTGGGTTTGTAGCGCGCTGCCTGGCGTAGCGGATTCGAAGGAGTCGTCAGGTTTGTCGGCCTTGGCGGCATTCCTGGTTGTCCGTGGTTTGCGCGGTGTAGCGATTTTGCGACTGGGGGTGGCCATCTTGCTGGGAGAGGCAGAGCGCGTTGATCGCGCGCGAGTGGAGCGAACGGCTGGACTGGGTAGGTATGGAGGTAGGGTGACTGGCTTAGCGTTCTTGACGTCGAATTTGGGCGGCCCTTGGATGGCCGGGTTGTGTTTGTCCTTGTTGCCCTTCTCGATTGGCGCGGGGTCTAGCAAAGCCTCAATCCAGTGGCGCATGGAGTACTCCTCTGAGAGCGCCAGTGCTATCAAGCAAGACTTGTTAGTGTTCCAGTCTCCCCTTGAAGCGCACAACAGTCTCGGCACTCTCACTCACCTTCTTCGGGCGCGATCCACACGCTGCCTGCCACCTCGTCCGGGCCTGCAGAGGGAAATGTCTTTTGGTATAGACGCTCTGCCTCTTCTTCGCGTAGTGAGGCCCAAGGAAATGCTGCCTTGAACATGCCCGTCGCGCTGACATAGCCATCGGCGCTACGACGCTGTAGGTGTTTGTTAGTGGTGTGCGCGTCGCGAAAGCGGACCTCTATCGGCGTACCATGAGGAAGTAAGACTCTGGGTAGACGGAGGTGCGGTTCAAGGTGAAGATGCCCGATCCAGAGAGGTCCTTGGGCAGCGGGACCCGGAGGTGCGCGTAGTCAAAGGTGCCCAGGTTCTCTGCTTTGGTCGCGCTCGTGACACCCGCAATGCCAGGCTTCACCGCGAGGTTTGTCTGGCCTAGTCGGCGCCTCTCCACCAAAATCTCCACTGTCGGCATCTGTTAATGACGAGGTCGCGATGAACTGCGACGCAATGCGCCGCGCTCCGGGTACGTACTGGCTGTGGAGTCGGTGGGCTCGAGGAGGGGGTTCCTCCGCTCTGGCAAAGCGCGTTTGGAGACCATTTTCGCGAGGTAGCAATGATGATTACAATAAAGGCAAGGTGTTGATGAGGCGCACGGCGCGATGACGATGGCGAGCGGGAGCGAAGGTCCAATAGCACGGGGGACGCGGTACGCGCGCGATGATGACTAGCCACGAATATTCTACAGCACGACGAAGGAGGGAGTGTGCAGGTCAGGTGACGCGACGAGGGTGAAAGCGCAGTTTCGCAGGGGGGGTGAAAGGTGTGCGCGACGAGATGAAAGTCAACCGACCGAATGCGACAGAGAGAGACGATGTCTGAAGGATGCTTGTCTGGGGATCGCAAAAGGTGTCGCTATCCCTGTGCACTAATTGCGCTAGCCTTACCTCACCTCACCATAGAGAGTGAGAGTGAGAGAAAGAGAGAGAGAGAGAGAGAGAGAGAGTCCGAGACCCGCGACCAGTGCCCGGTGGCCAGACAAACAAAGCAACAAAACCTTTGCGTCCGAGAGATACTACTTTATTCTCTATAGGTATGATAGCTGACACTTCGGCGTTGTCGTCTCTCTCTCCCAGCGCGTCCCCAAAGGTGATGTGACCAGGTGGGAAAGCAGAGGCGTTGATTGTACTGTAGGTAGCTGTATGGCATGGGCATATACGTTGCACTCACGACTACATATGATTCGTACATTCAGCCGTCTTTTGCAGTCAGTATCCAGTTTGGTGTGATGGGTAACAGCCTTCTCAAAAAGCGGTAGAGCCGCTTCATGTCGGGTTGGGGTGCCAGGTGACTACCTACCACGGTAGGCCAGGCAAAAGAGACACGTCACACAAAAGCTACAGCCATGATCCATTGACCGCAATGGTAATGCTGCAAAAGGCCTTTAGTTGCATGAAAGTTACAACGCGTTTCAGCGCTCAAACAAGGTAGTCCAGAAGCTTTTTTCTGTTGACAGCAAACTTTGGTTGAGTTGGGCTGTTGGAGGGTTACCATGCGATCATGAATGGCCAAGACCAGGCACAAACATAGCCTGCTACGTATTCGATGTTCATGGATTCATCATGGATTCATGGTGCTCGTCCAGGGTTTCGACTTGTTTTGCAGGAACTCGTGGGGTAAAGGAGTCGGTGGTTGCAAGGTTGCACGGCCGTGGCATTGGTTAGTCGGCTCTTCTCGTACTCTTTTCAAGTGACACAGGGGGCCCTAACGAGGCTCGTTCTTCATGCTTGTCAGTGGGTAGAGGTAGGTAGGAAGGTAGGTAGGTGATACATAGTATGTCCCTATATATGCTCGCCGCCCACACCGCAGCATGGCCTATCCACACACTACTGACGACTGTATGTACAGCACCACAATAGGGTTACGGCTATGCTTGGACTTGAAGACAACAGAGGGAAGAGAAGAAAAAAAAAGGTTCTGGTTCTGGGTCAAAAGTCAAAAATGGCTCCAATACTGGCTAACAAGCCAAAAGATGGATGGATCCACTGAGCGGCACGGCCCCGCCAGGAACGTGGCGAATCAGCAGCTCTACACTAGCTGATGCGGTGAATGGACCCCGCCAACGTCGAGGGCCTCGAAGAGTGAATCCACATTACTTTCATGTGCCCCTCGACTCTCCACCTCTCTCCTCCACCCCCCCCCCCCCAGCTTCCAACGCCCGTATCTCCCGTCTTTGGTGTCTCCAGCGTCTCCACTAGCAGCCATCCATCCCCCTTCCTACAAGTCGTCACTACACCCGCCCGTCTCTTGAACCACCTACGCCATCGACTGAAAACATGTCCACCAACACGGCCGACCACGACGACCTCCAGGCCGAGCAGACCGAGGGCTTCAAGGTTGGCGAGAAGAAGACGATTGACGAGTACCAGAAACTAGGTTCGTGACACGCTTGCCTCTGCAGGGCCGCTTCGTCGGTTTTTATTTTGGAGATGTGACCACAAACCACTAACCAACCCGCTCCGACAGACCAGGAAGATGAATCGCTCCAGAAGTGGAAGGCCTCGCTCGGTCTCGGCCAAGGCAAGGACATCTCCGACCCCAACGACCCCCGCAAGTGCATCATCCTCTCCCTCGGCCTGGAAGTCGAAGGCCGCGACGACATCATCATCGACCTGCGGTCACCGGGTGCTCTGGAGGCGCTCAACGACAAGCCCTTTACCATCAAGGAAGGCGCTACATTCCGCATGAAGGCCCAGTTCAAGGTCCAACACGAGATTCTAGCGGGCCTGAAGTACCTGCAAAAGGTCACACGCATGGGAGTCAGCGACAAGCTCCAGGAGATGATGGTAGGTAGTCATACGGTATCCCTGTCAAGTCGATTGACAGCATTGGCTAACATTTCCCCCTTCCCAGGGCTCCTACGGCCCCAACACCGAGGAGAAGCCATTCTACGAGAAGAAGTGTACGTCCACCCGCTTTCATATCTCTCCCACACCTGCTAACTCACTGGGCAGTCGAACCCGAGACGGCCCCCTCCGGTATGCTCGCACGTGGCCACTACACCGCCATCTCCAAGTTTGTCGACGATGACAACCACGTCCACCTGCAGTTCAAGTGGTCGTTTGATATCAAGAAGGACTGGAAATGAGTCTGGTCTTGCTCGCACCAGCTCTGGTAGACGGTTGATTGGGAACAGGCGGACGATTGGATACAGATCGGAAGGAACGAGGAAATGTGAAGTGGGGAGGAGGATACCTGGGCGAGGGCAGCGCCTGCAAAAAAAGAATAATGAAGTAACGGCTGATTGACGACAATGGACGAGGTTGGAAATGACGGGTTGAGATGCAAATCCATATGGACTATCGTAGCTTGATCATTGAAGTATTTTGCATGTCCCCTCTACGTGGCAGGATCCCTGTTCATGATTACAATCTTCCATTCTGACCTTCTCACTTTTTTTTTTTGCTGATCATCACCCTGTACCTTTCCCCTTTCTCACTCAACATCAACATTACGGAAGTGACACCATCTCGCCGCCACCCTTCTAGCCGTCACCGTCCGACCTGCCCATGCCCTATCGCTACTCCCAGAGCGATACCGACGAGCCGAGAGATTCAAAATGGATACCTGCTGGTCCCAAGGATCCCCTGGCTCGGCCTCTGTACCATCATCCGGCTCGTCTACGCCCACCCTTTCTGCCTCCCCGTCCTCGTCGTCCTCGCCATCGTCTGCACGCCGCTGTTTGCCTTGACACTCGACAATGTAGAGCGTGGCCCCTGCATGCAGTGCGGCTTCTGTAGCAGCTGCAAAAGTGCGCGACAGGCCTTGCGCGGAGAAAGAGGTTGTTGGTGCATGTAAAGCGAGTGGGTTTACTAGGACCAACCTTTCTGTTCCTGGTGCTGCTTGCCTGGCTTCTGTGCTGCGTCGGCCATGAGCTGTCAGATAGGCCAGCAAGGACTGCACAGAGGGGCAAAACGCCAGTTGAATATGCTGTGTGGCCAAGAGGTTAAACAGCGTAGGCGTCAGCAGATCGTGTAGTGTGCTCTTGCGGTGCTCTTCCTGCTCGTCGTGCTGTTGTAATGCTTCTCGCAGGTCTGCGAGGAAGGCCTCGCGACTGGAGCACACGACCAACAGGGTGCGAGCGTTGTCTTCTGTCTGCGTTGTGAGAATATGGTCGAGCAGGCCGGGTAGGGTTAGTGGATGCAGCACTGTCGGCGAGAGCGACATGGCCATGGAAGTCTAGCAGCCATGTGTGTGTAGTGTTGGGCCACGTGTTCGGTACTGCACTGGAGTGTAGGTGGAGCAGAAGGCAACGCAGTGTGAGATGTCAGAAGTGAGAAGTGAGATAATTGGGGGGGGGGGAGGACTGGGTGAGGGGAGAGGGAGGGAGTAGGAGAGGTACTAACTACTTACTTCATTCTCTCCTGTCCATACTTAGTCCTATCGGCAAGCCTTACGACAACTATTCGCTATTCCGGACAACACCATCTGT